AATGGAAATTAAATCAAATAAATAAATGGATAGCTGTATAATAAGAAGAAAGAAAACCTTTAGTTTTGTAATAATAACAGTAATACTGGAAATAATAGACATCAGAAAATTGAAAGGTTTTAAATTAACAATAAATTATTATTTTACGATGTTCTTCAACAACCCTTAAATCTTAAATGTTTAGTAAGGATTAGATTTCTGCCTTTGATTATTCTATATGGGTAAAATGCAATCTTGTGACTTATTGATAGGAAACCAGTTTTAATCATTAATTTCTATGGGTTCTGTAGAACTAAAAATGAAGAAAATATAAATTACAATCGCAAATATACTAATTATTTTTGTTAATACGTTTTGATTCTACGTTATTATATGTTTTTATTTTGACATTATTTAACCTATTCTTCAATGACAACTTATTAGGCTTAGGAACATCTCATACATTTTCTCGTAAATACCTGCCTATGTTTTATTATCATTTTTATTGATTATATCTTTTTTTAGCTAAAGTAATAAAAATATATAATAAATTAATTTTTTCACTTGTTTTACAAATCCATATACTTTAATTAAAATCAACCTATATATATTTTTTTTTAATTACGAATTCTATTAAAAATTGTATTGTCATTATACGCAAATATCGTCCGTTAGTTCATAAAATAGTTGTGGCTATGTTTGATGAGCGTACATCGAAAAATAATCGGAGAAAACAAAAAAAATATGTTTTCTGTTATAGATGTTTTTGGTAGAGAAAAAAGAAATTTAAAATTTGCGTTTTCCTAGTGTTTTTTTTTTGTGTTCGTCAACGTGTTTGAGTGAGTTTTTGAGTTTTTATAAATTTTAATTTTTTTTATTATTATGTATGGCTGTACCTTCTTGTTCAGATTTTTCTTTTATATCACACCTTTTGTTTGTTTTAAGTTTGTTTTTTTTTTTGTTATTTTTTTGTTTTTTTTGTTTTTTTTTTTTGTTTTTTTTTTGTTTTTTTTTTGTTTTTTGTTTTTTTTTTTGTTTTTTTTTGTTTTTTTTTTTGTTTTTTTGTTTTCGTTTTTTTTTTGTTTTAGTTTTTGTCTATTTTGTTGAGTTATTTTATTTATTAGACTTGTATTTGTAATTTGTATTGCTCTTTTATTTTTTATTTTATTTGTTTTTCAACAAATAAATATTCTAATTTTTTTTCCCCATGAATACACTGCGACCTAAAAGATCTATTGTGTCCTCTTTTGTTGGACTGTAGTTACTAAAGACGTGTTTGGAACACATATTTAATTATTAAACAACTCTATAGCTCTAGAAAGAGACAATTGTTATTTGTTAATAATAATAAGTATTTTTCCAATTTTGACGCCACTACTCTCACGATTACTCTGTTACTTCTAGGTTCTATAGGGTTCCCGTCTGGTACACCTTTTTATTTTATTTTTTTGTCAACGATGTAAATTCCTGTTTTCGGCTTTGTAATTTCTCACTTTTTGCAGATGGCCTTAAACTTTTTCAAATTATCAACAACTTTGGAAATATCGTTCTCAACATGCCGGTAAATTTGACTACACAATCAATGATCAACTTTTAAATAGTGTGAAACAAATTAAAGAACTTGGCGCTATTTCTGTCTTCATAGTTGTAACAGTAACTGCTATTAAACTGGTTTATTGTATAGTTAGGAGTCATCATGATTATTATTTTGCTGCATGGTCCCCACATTTTGTAACCTACAAATTAAAAATTAATTGTGTATAGAACAATTTTCTTATACAGGGTGGCCACTTTTTTAATGAGATTCTATTAGTAATTTCCAAACCATACTAGTTAGAAAGTCGTTTAAATGGAGAAAAAGTTGCGTATCTCGAAGCATAATCTAGCGGTGAAAATTAATCGAAAATAGCAGGCACGGTTCTTGAGATATTTCGATAAAAGAAAATTCGATCATTTTGGTTTTTTGGTTATCGTTCATTTATTTTCAGAACTACTAAAAATTATTTTAAAGGTTTTTTTATTTGATAGTAAATTTTCTTTGATTTGACGTTTTCATATTTTACATCCAACGTTTCGTATTCTCCAGACCACCATCAACTTTTTTTTTTAAACATGGGCCCGGGTATTTTATAACATTATTTGAAATAACTTTTTATCCTGCATCCAGCAGTGTATTACACAATGGCATTCACTGACAGTTTGTGGGTAATATGGACCGTAATCCAAATTTTATTGGTACGGATCATCTGTATTGAATTTATAATCAGCGTTAATTTATTCAGTGTATAATACTTCGAAGATAAAGTGATTATAATTAGAAAAAAATAAATTAGAATTAATAATTATTCAATTATTTGACTATTAAAAAGTATGTTTTGATAAGGTAAATGATTAAAAGATATACTCGATTCTATTTTTGACAAGAGGTCCAGTGGCGTGGCCTGCCAGATCGCCAGATCTGAATCCATTAGATTTTTATTTGTGGGGACGTCTCAAAAATAGTGAATAATACACCAAATGCAACAATTGAGATTCTCCGCGAAAAGATTGAAGATGCATTGGAAGATATCCAAGAAGAAGAAATAAGCAATAGCATAAGAAATATGAATATCAGAATTGCTAAATGTATTGAAGAAGATGGCAGGCATTTTGAACAATTACTCAATTAATTTTATTGATATTTTCAAATAATTTGATTATGACTAACAAAAACTGAATTTCTTTTTGTTATTATCATTAATTGCGTTTTAAAATTTCTACATTACTATTGTTGTTGTTGATGAATTGTTTAATTTTCGAAAAATTACATAAATTTTGTAAGAATTGATTTTATTTTTTTATCGAGGATCATGACATGTTGATTCAACTAAAGATGGCTGAAACCAAGCGTAAATTAAATAAAATTTGGATAACGGTCCATATTACCCAAAAACCGTCATTGAATGCCATTGTGTAATACACCGCTGGATGCAGGACAAAAAGTTATTTCAAATAATGTTATAAAATATCCAGGTCCATATTTAAAAAAAAATAAGTTGAGGGTGGTCTGGAGATTACGAAACGTTGGAGGCAAAATATGAAAACGTCAAATCAAAGAAAATTTACTATCAAATAAAAAACCTTAAAAATATTTTTTAGTAGTTCTGAAAATAAATGAACGATAACCAAAAAACCGAAAAGATCGAATTTCCTTTTATCGAAATATCTCAAGAGCCGGGCCTGCTATTTTCGATTAATTTTCACCGTTAGATTATGCTTCGAGATAGGCAACTTTTTCTCTATTTAACCGACTTTCTAACTAGTATGGTTTGGAAATTACTAATACAATCCCATTAAAAAAGTGGCCACCCTGTATAGGTAAAGTTGAAGAAATTGATATATTGTGAGCATTAAAGTCGTGAAGCCATATTTATTTATATTCTGAAAATGTCAAAAGGCACAGAATAAAAAATTGCTTACAGAAAGGTATGAAGTCTGCGCCTGTGTCTAGTCAATGTGACTGGAACAATTCGAAGCTAGGGTCTATGCTGTCATGCATAACGCGTTCTTTTTGGTTAATACTGTCGTGCGACCGTATCTTATACCGACCCTGTGCTTTATTGACCTTCACCGCTGCCGTTACGTCTGACGCTGTCCCGCTTGCGATCGAAAGTCGAATGGAATATTCTCTCTGTTCGCAAACCGATGCTTGAAGGAAGGATTTCGAGAACTTCTAGACTAACCTCGAACTTTCTAGTCAGGATTGAATTTTTTCTAGACTGTTAGTGAATTCTTTTGTCGTTTAAGCTAAGTTTCAATATAAATGTTGTCAAGTAAAGGTTAATTGTTAAATAAATTAATTATAACTGCTTCATTTTTACTAAAAATTTCATGTTGATATCGCTTTTGGATTTTGATTTATAATTTTTTTTTATTTCAACCCCCCCCCCCTTAGCCCAACATTTTTAATTAGATTTGTTTTCAAAATTCCACTTCTTGATTTTTCCTGAAATTTTTAAGTTGATATAATTTTTCGTTCTTAACTTTTAGTATTAATTAGATGAACTAGAATTAGAAGAAAATTAATGTTTATTATTGTGTCCTCTTTTTAATAAACTTTAATAAAGGTTAGAATGTAATTGAAGTCTATTCATATTTATTCGTTATTGTTGCCTTTAAAAAAATAGACATTTTATTGTTGTCTTATTTATTTGTGTAGTATTTATTTTTATTTATTGCCCTAATTATGTTTAAATACCTACCTTCAAACTTTTATCTATCCATACTATGAAATTACTGTTTTAGTTTGATTAGAATATACAGTGTGTAACTGTGCAATGTGCATATTTATAAAAAATCCCGAACACGCAAATTTTAGATTATAAAATGACACATCCTGCAAAGTGAAAATTTCAACCCTACCTTTAACCCCCTTCGAGTGACAGTTGCAACCCCGAATTTGGAAATAGGATGTAAAGGATATTGTGTGCCTCATTTGAAAGGTCTCTTTATTCTCTATTCAAAAATTCTGTGATTTAACTGTGATTAAATGTTCTTGCAATTTAAATATTTACACTTTAAACTTTAGAATATATCCATTTCAATAATTGTTGAGCAGTATGGTGTATGATGGCATGTTTATTTTTGGAGAATGAAATTTGTTGTGAAAGAATTCAGTTTGTTTAAATAATAAAACCGTCTTGATTAATAAAATAATACCGTTATAGATATTCCTGTGAATAGAATGTTAATTAGCAATATTTATTATCATAATTTTACTTTCCCTTTTCTTCCAATTTTGTCACAACGAAAACAAGTTGGATGAACTGCTGTGAAAGTATACATATTTACCGGAGCGCTTATTTTTTTATTTCTCAGTTTTTCAAATTTTTCTTCGGTTTAATTCAATAATGATATAAATAATAAAATGTGGGTTTATAGTACGTTTAAGTAAATTAAACATTTATTGGAACTAAATAAATACAAATTAAGATCTTATTTTTTTATTTTCAATTTATCTACACGTTTACGTTTTCTTTCAGAAATAAAATGCGGTCACCCTCCAGTTCCTCTAAACTCAAGGGTAACTTTAAGTTCCCCAAAACTAGCACCAGGCACCGCAGCGACGTATCAATGCGACGAAGGATACGAAACATTCGGCGAGACGAAAACCACCTGTTCTACTTCCGGCCGATGGACTGGAGAACCGCCTTTTTGCGGTAAGTGTTAAACAGACAACAGGCGATACAGAGAAATATTACACATTACACAGAAAAAGTTTATCTACTTGAAGAAAAATAATTGTTAGTTCTTCCAAAACCACTTATATTAATAATAGAAAGAAAATTCTGAAACACTTGCCTCTTACGTATTTTACACGTATTTCATTCTAACTCTAGAGACAGAATGTTCATTATGTAATAGCTACTGGCCAGTGGCTGTGAATACCACGCCCGCATCATAGATAGTCATGAATTTCATGACTGACAGTTCTACGTGACGTATTAGTATTTAATTTGAATTTGCCTGAATAAAGGTAAGCAGCGATGGTTAAGTCGTACTTAAATTAAAAAATTGGTGAATATAATGATTCTTATATGGAATTTGTTAATATTCCTCTTAAACTTAATATATAATTTAAATAAAAACTTGCCTAACATAAGTAGACTAAATATTTCATTTTACTATATTCAACTCCTACTGTGTCTTGTTATAGAATCAATAATATTTATACCTACTACACAAACATTTCTTTTTTCTGTCTAACAAATTAAAATAATGTTATACCTATGTTTATTAAATTTAACTCTAACAAAGGTCCTTATCTCCTGGTCTGGATGATATACCACCAAGTCCAGTTAAAGTTCTGTAGTTTGTCTCGACCTTTAATACACATTTTTAACCTCTCATTAGTTTTTGATATCTAGAAGTCAAGTTTTATAATTGCATTACATAAATTAGTGACTCTAGCTTACTAATAATTCCAGAGCAGTTAGTATCTTGAGTTTCATACCCAAGCTGTTTGAATTTAGGATGTATTGACACCATCCTCGAAAGTTATTCGAATCGATGAAAAATTTTTATTCTACTGATTCTGGTCCCGTAAATCAAAAGAACTTAATCTTCTTAGATTTACTGATTTGTTTGTCGAACGTTTTAGACCGTGAATTCCAAGTATGGACTTTCTAGCGCAGTCTAGCATCATGTGTCATACCCAGATATTTTGCTGTATTTGCAAAATTAATCTGAGTGTCGTTTATTCTAATAAGAATATATTCAGTTTGTTTATTGCTGACGTTGATATGGGCAGATTTGCTCTCATTAAATTTTATTCACCATCATTTCGTCCAGATTGTAATCTGGTCTATAGATTTTTGCAAGTTTCTATTAGCGCTGTCGTAATAATAGCCAGAATTGCAGTATCATCAGCAAATGTGGCGATAGTATTGGGCTCAAGATTTTTTTTTGTGTCATCGGCTTCAACTACCAGGGTTATTTCGCCTCGTGTTCTGTGTAGGCTTTGTTACTGTTTCCCAGCGCCACTTTAGGAACAGCACTGTTAATTAGAACCCAACAGTGAATGGTCGAGTGGGGAATCCTACGGGCTCAAGATTAGGAGTATCTCTGGTATACAACAAGTAGAGTACTGGACCTAGTACAATACCTTCAGATACTCCTACCTTAATTTCTCTTAGGCTTCTTCCTGTTTAATTCTGAAATACTTTACTGATAAATAGGATTTTAATAGTTCTGAGTATTAACGTAGCTGGAACATGTTCAGTTTTTAAATCAGGCCGTCATGACATACTTTGTTGAAAGCCCGAGCCACGTCCAAAAAGACGGAGGAGTAATTTTTTTCTAGGGACTTGATGATATCTTTGATTCTACGAACGTATTAGCTGTTGTGTTGCATTGCTTAAAGTTGATATTTTTGTTTATTGTTGTAATATTCGTCAGTATTAGTCAGTTTTGATTCTACAATTTAGTTTTATATTAAATAATTTTTATTGTAATTAAATATTGACTTAATCTTTCATAAATAAATATGATTTATTTTTCATAGTACAATTGTATGGTATCGTCAAAATACAAGTAAATAAAATAAAAATATGACAAAAGCATAAAGCTAGAAAATTCAATAAAATATGGGTAGGACTTATACATCAAATTCGTAAAATTCAGCAAGATCATAAAAACAATATTTTAATAAAAAAGTTTCAATTTTCTTTTAAAAATAAAAAATGAATTACTTTCCTTTATTACAAGAGGTAGTCTTGCATAAGGTTACAGGGTGTTTCCGAACTTGGCGTCCAAATTTGTAGGGGTGGTAGTTCGCATAATTTGAGAGCGATTGGCAAATTTCATTTTTCTAAAAAAATTATAATAAACAAAATAGAGCCATTATAAAAAAATCAAAGAGCAGGTCCTACCCTGAGCGCGTAGCGCAAAAGTATTCAACAAGTATTACAAATTAAAAATTTAAAAAACCGACTTCAAAAACGTGCAGATGTCATCACCATATCTTAACCAAATTTATATGTGACCACCCCTGAGGTACCCCCTTACTAACAAAAAAGAATCGTATAAATCGGACAAGGTGGTAAAGCATTATTGTTGAACATACATAAAAAATTAAGAGTTTGAGGATTTTCTCATGGATCCAATTATTAGATTTTGACCAAATTTATATGGGACCACCCCTAAAGTAGCCCCTTTCTAACAAAAAAAGAATTATTGAAATCGGACACCGTGTTAAAAAATTATCGCTGAACATACATAAAAAATGAAGAGTTTGAGGATTTTCTCATGGACCCAATTATTAGATTTTGACTTAATTTATATGGCACCACCCCTGAAATATCCCCTTTCTAACAAAAAAAGATTCATTAAAATCGGACACCGTGTTAAAGAATAATCGCTAGTCCTCTACAATGTTGATCTATTTGAATTCCTAGAAAGCGAATGCTATCATTTCCATTATTAAGGACATTTTCAAAACTAATCTCTAGGGGCTCAACGTTATGTTGCCTGTTATGAAATCTAAGTACCTCAGTCTTATTAGCTTTAAAATATAAATCAAGATTATTAAAGTAACTTGACATTTTTTGAGCGATGTTGGAGCTCTCTCTGTTTAGTAGATCCGTGTTTTTAGCTGAAATTATAGCCAAGAAATCATCTGCATAGCTTACATAATATCATTTGCATAGCTTACATAATATCATCTGCATAGCTTACATAATGATTATCACCTATTAATGAGACACTTTGTTTACATACAGTATGAACAAAATGGGTCCCAAAATTGAACCCTGAGGAACTCCCATATTAATATCTAGTGTATCAGAATTAATAGTATTAATTGTGTTGTCGTTTTGTACTTCCTGGCACGTAAAAAAGTTGAGATCTAATTTAAAACAGTGCCTCGGATTCCATATTTCTCTAATATATTTAATAGCAACTCATGGTTTACACAATCGAATGCTTTACTGAGATCACAAAAGATAGCTGTTGGGCATTCAGATTCCTCCAAATGGTGAATAATTTTATTGTAAAATGAAAGCATAGCAGCAACACAGAATCCAAGCTGATTTCCTGTTATAATGTTGTACCTTTTCAAGAAAGACAGAAGACAATCAAGAAAGGCAACAGGTCTATAGTTTTCTATTTGTCTACGATCATTTTTCTTGTGCAATGGTAGAACTTTCCCCAGTTTTAAAGCTTGAGGAAAACTGCCCATCTCAAATGATAAGTTTACCAAATATGTTAAAGGTTCAGAGAAAACAACTAATACTTGTTTTAATACAAAACATGGTACGTCATCGGCTCCAGAAGATCTTTTGTTTTTAATTTTCCTAAGTTATAAATTTAATAATTCTGCGTGAGAAAATTGAGTGAGGAAGAAAGAATCTTTATTTCATGTGATTTCTTCGATGTTACTATAGTAGACTTTGTTATTATTTTGTCGACCAAATAACCAGGAGCATATTTAAAAAAACTATTAAACTCTGCAGCTACCTCCCGTGGATCATCCAATAACATCCCGTCCTTTTCTATGATAATAGTTGGGACAGAACTTTGCCTATTCGTAATTTCTGATACACCATTCCAACAAGTCTTAATAGCATTGTCTGATCTTAGAATACGTTTTTGATAGTGTTCTTTTTTCTTTGATTGTAATAAAAAGGAATGATTTTTCTTACGTTCTTCGTCATTAAAGTACGAAAATGCATTATCAAGAGTACTATTATTTAAAATTGTCTAGTCTTCATTGGAAAGAGCTTGTTTAAACTGACTATATTAAGTTCGCTAAAAATTTTTTTCACTACATTCATTTTTGAATCCTTTTCTAAAACTTTAAAGAGATTGAATCACAAAAAACTGAACGATGATCTGAAATTTCGTTATCAGTGACACAGACGTAACATTGTTTTTACAGCTGGTCACGAAAATTTGATCAATTAATGTGCAGGAATTTTCAGTGACTCTTGTTGGCCAAGTAACTATTGGCCCAAGGTCAAAACAGGACAAAATCATACACAAATCATTAAAACTATCATTTGAATATTTGTCAAAATTAAAATCTCCTGTTAAAACAAACTGAGTATGTCGGATGTATAAATGATCTAACACCACAGAAATTTGATTTAAAAAAATATTAATCTCTCCAAAAGGAGATAACAATTTAAAATAGTATGAACAATTTTATTGAACACTGTTAAACACTATTACAAAAATTTCAAATTCAGGTGTAAACGTGGCCTACAGACGTCCATCCAACCAATCTACGACGGTAAAGGGTGGTTCGTCCCTAAACGCCAACGACGGCGACAAAAGTACTGAACACGACGGCAAGAGATGTTCCGAAACGCAGAAGGAAACCAGTCCGTGGTGGCAGGTCGACCTCCTAAAACCGTATTCAATAAAAGTGATCAGAATCACCACTAGGGGATGCTGCGGACAACAACCACTACAGGATTTGGAGATCAGGGTGGGGAACAGTAGTACGGATTTGCAGAAGAATCCTCTGTGCGCTTGGTTTCCAGGAACCATTGGTAAGAGGAAAATAGTAGGAGTAACCTACCCGATCGCTTGATTTAATGCTACTGGATTTTTATGTATTTCAGATGAAGGGGTCTCGAAAACGTTCACTTGCGCTAGAGTGCTAATAGGGCAACATGTGTTTCTTCAACTAGTTGGCGTAGAAGGGTCTTTATCGTTGTGCGAGGTCGAAGTTTTCTCATCTAATGGTAAGTAAATTAAAAATAAATTGCTAATAAGTGGGTTCGAATCCCCCTGTGGACAGACAATTTTTCATTAAATTTGTTTTCACCTTGGTGGTTCTAAAATAATTTTTATTATTTCGTAAGGATAATAAACATTGGGATTTGTTTGGGAATTTCCAAGAAATTTATCATCCTATTTTTCGGAACTTTTAAAACCCGTTTTCTCACTAGCTTTATTTGCTTTGTAACGTATATTGATAACTTAATAGATGTTTACCTTCAGGTGCATAACAACAGTCAACACCTGTACCGGCCTTAAGTCGATGAATAAGTAGGGGGCCAACTCCTCAAAAGTTTACATCCATGGTAACTATTCTTGAATTCGACGGAGTAGAAAACCGGTTTTTCCTCTTTATCTGCAACGCACAAAATTTGTATTTTTTTCTCATTCTTCCCTCAAATTTTCTACTCCATGAGATTCAAGAATAGATACCCCGATCATCAAAAAATCTCAAATTACAGTTACCTACAGTAAACAAATTGTTTGCCCCCGAAACTTATATGTTTAAAATTATTATTAATTGACCATATTTATTTCGTTATCCATTTAAACCCAACACCATATTTAGAATTATTGATGAATTATGAAATTTTTAATAATACAAAACGAGAAAGTTACTTTCTGGTTTTTGGTAGGTATGTAAAAAGACTCCGTTTTTTTTTTTTGTTAAATACAATAATCAACTAAAGCAATTTTATATCACTCTTACAATCATTTCCTATTATTAAACTTACATTACATAATTGCAAGAATTGCCATTAAAATAAGTTACGATTCATTAGAGTCAAATTGGTTGCAAATTAAGACAGACATGCAGTTTATTGTTAGAAGACGATAGACTTAAATAGTATACGTTATGCTTGAGTAAGTTTTGTAAACTAATTGATATTTTCCACCATAGTAATTGCACGTTCATTGTATAATATTCCGCAAATAATCATTAGCACCTTCAATGAATCGAACAATGAAAACAAAATTTGTAGAGGATGGATTTTTCCATTTAGAGTAAATAATCGCATTGAAAGACATTAAGGATAGTACAAATAAAATCATCAGGTTTTTATAAGATCAAATTTAATACTTTCCCAAAAAAAAGATATAAGACCAATTAGTATCAATTTTTGTAAATTGCAAATAAACATTCTTGACCTGGCCTGGCACATCTGATTATTTATTTATCTAAGCATCTGACTTGTATAAGTGTGTCAAATTTCCATGGCAGACCTAACTTTAACAATAGTTTTAAGTTTTTTTTTTAATTGAGAACAAAGTCGAAAAAAAATGGAAATATATTAATAATAATAATAATAATACTCTTCCTAATTCACCCCCTTACGAGTGAATTTCAACCCCTGAAGTCGACTGAACGACTTGTGTAGGGGAAAGGACGGCTATTATTATTATTTGCCGTGGCGCTCCGGGGCGACTTAAGGATGATTGATGGTGCCATTTGACTTACAGGTGAGGAAAACCAGGAAAACCTCCCCACCATCATCGAGACGATAATGTATGGCGATTTTATAATCTGCATGTCATATCAATAGAAATTGAATTTTCTATTAATACGGCACACATCAAATACTAAACCGAACCATGCAATTTAATTAAAAATCCACATGGTCTGGTCTGGGATTCGAAGCCCAGCAGTCTCGGACTCATAAACTTGCCTATAAATGAATATAAGCGCGTTAGACCGCTACACCATCGACCCGATAAGTAGGGGGAATATTGCGACTGCATAACATTTATAAGAGCTATAGATTTGATATGTACGAGGGCAAATTTAAAAATTCTAAAAGTATCATTCTTGTGAAAAAATCCAAGGGAATTAATATATTAAAAAAATATATTTAGGTACATAAGTATGTAAGGTTAATGTTTAAAACTCTTACAGTTCCGTTTTTTCTTCTTCCTAGAATTTTCACTAGACAGATGCGTGCCCAACAACTCCCCAGACGAAACGGAACTAGCGACATTCTCCCATACCTGTTACAAATTCGAAATCACCAGAGGTGGCTCGTTTTCCGACGCCAGGAATCGATGCCAGAAGCAATACGGTGACTTAATACACTCCATAACGCCAATACAGAACACTTTTCTGCATTCGGAACTGGATAGGAGGAAAACCAGATTGAAGACGCAATTCGTGTGGATTGGAGCTCAAAAAGAACCAAGTGTCGTGTCCAGGACTTGGAAATGGGTCAATGGTTAGTAACTTGTCTCCATGTTTGCCATCTTTACCAACAATATCAATGTTTTCTTTATTTTTCAAGGTGACCTTGTTCAACGTCCATCTTGGGGCAAAGATCAGCCGAACAACTACAATGGTGAACAAAACTGCGTGGTCCTTGATGGTGGTAGACAATGGTTATGGAATGATGTCGGTTGTAATTTAGATTACTGTCACTGGATCTGCCAGCACGGTAATTGTTTAGTAATAACTTTGATCTGTCTAAAAATTAAATCATTTCCGCTTTTAGGTCCTTTTTCTTGTGGCAGTCCGGATAAGCTGATCAATACCACTATAATCGGACAAGATACTGATATCGGATCGACAATCGAGTACCAGTGTCCTCAGGGACACATGCTTATTGGTAGTAACAAAAGAAAATGTGGCAAAAATGGTTTATGGACCGGTGCAGCTCCTACTTGCAAATGTATGTACAATATAATCACTAAATCAAACCACGTGCATTGCTAACGAATAATTATGTTCGACTTGAATTAATTTTACTTCAAGAAACTTTTTTTAAGTATCTTCCTATATTTATTTTTCCATATTTTTCTATATTTTTCTATATTTTTCTATATGTTTCTATATTTTTCTATATTTTTCTATATTTTTCTATATTTTTCTATATTTTTCTATATTTTCTATATTTTTCTATATTTTTCTATATTTTTCTATATTTTTCTATATTTTTCTATATTTTTCTATATTTTTCTATATTTTTCTATATTTTTCTATATTTTTCTATATTTTTCTATATTTTTCTATATTTTTCTATATTTTTCTATATTTTTCTATTTCTATATTTTTCTATATTTTCTATATTTTTCTATATTTTTCTATATTTTTCTATTTTTCTATATTTTTCTATATTTTTCTATATTTTTCTATATTTTTCTATATTTTTCTATATTTTTCTATATTTTTCTATATTTTTCTATATTTTTCTATATTTTTCTATATTTTTCTATATTTTTCTATATTTTTTCTATATTTTTCTATATTTTTCTATATTTTTCTATATTTTTCTATATTTTTCTATATTTTTTTTATATTTTTCTATATTTTTCTATATTTTTCTATATTTTTCTATATTTTTCTATATTTTTCTATATTTTTCTATATTTTTCTATATTTTTCTATATTTTTCTATATTTTTCTATATTTTTCTATATTTTTCTATATTTTTCTATATTTTTCTATATTTTTCTATATTTTTCTATATTTTTCTATATTTTTCTATATTTTTCTATATTTTTCTATATTTTTCTATATTTTTCTATATTTTTCTATATTTTTCTATATTTTTCTATATTTTTCTATATTTTTCTATATTTTTCTATATTTTTCTATATTTTTCTATATTTTTCTATATTTTTCTATATTTTTCTATATTTTTCTATATTTTTCTATATTTTTCTATATTTTTCTATATTTTTCTATATTTTTCTATATTTTTCTATATTTTTCTATATTTTTCTATATTTTTCTATATTTTTCTATATTTTCTCTATATTTTTCTATATTTTTCTATATTTTTCTATATTTTTCTATATTTTTCTATATTTTTCTATATTTTTCTATATTTTTCTATATTTTTCTATATTTTTCTATATTTTTCTATATTTTTCTATATTTTTCTATATTTTTCTATATTTTTCTATATTTTTCTATATTTTTCTATATTTTTCTATATTTTTCTATATTTTTCTATATTTTTCTATATTTTTCTATATTTTTCTATATTTTTCTATATTTTTCTATATTTTTCTATATTTTTCTATATTTTTCTATATTTTTCTATATTTTTCTATATTTTTCTATATTTTTCTATATTTTTCTATATTTTTCTATATTTTTCTATATTTTTCTATATTTTTCTATATTTTTCTATATTTTTCTATATTTTTCTATATTTTTCTATATTTTTCTATATTTTTCTATATTTTTCTATATTTTTCTATATTTTTCTATATTTTTCTATATTTTTCTATATTTTTCTATATTTTTCTATATTTTTCTATATTTTTCTATATTTTTCTATATTTTTCTATATTTTTCTATATTTTTCTATATTTTTCTATATTTTTCTATATTTTTCTATATTTTTCTATATTTTTCTACATTTTTCCATATTATCTATATTTTTTTATATTTTTTTATATTTTTTATATTTTTTATATTTTTTATATTTTTCTATATTTTTCCGTATTTTCTATATTTTCTATATTTTTCTATATTTTTCTATATTTTTCTATATTTTTCTATATTTTTCTATATTTTTCTATATTTTTCTATATTTTTCTATATTTTTCTATATTTTTTTATATTTTTCTATATTTTTCTATATTTTTCTATATTTTTCTATATTTTTCTATATTTTTCTATATTTTTCTATATTTTTCTATATTTTTCTATATTTTTCTATATTTTTCTATATTTTTCTATATTTTTCTATATTTTTCTATATTTTTCTATATTTTTCTATATTTTTCTATATTTTTTACATTTTTTTCTTATCTTAGACGTTGATTGTGGCTCTCTTCCCGGCCTGAACCATGGTACTGTAGAAATCCAAAATCAAATAACCACTTACGGAGCTAAAGCTGTCTACACTTGCCACGAAAATTACACTTTAATTGGTCACGAAGTGAGAATGTGCGGCAACGAAGGCCAATGGACCAACTCTACACCGCAATGTCTGTTCGACTGGTGCCCAGAACCTCCTACGATCCACGGAGGAAGCGTAACCGTATCTGGTCGACGCGCTGGCGATACCGCGATATATACCTGCCATGCGGGTTATATAATTTTTGGAGAAGAAGTTAGTATATTATCCGAAACATTGGATCATGAGTGGTACTCGACATTAAGTTGTGAAAGTACTAATACATTTTATTTTCTCAGGTTTTGTCGTGTAGACTAGGGGGCGAATGGTCAGGGAAAGCGCCGACCTGCAAATACATAGACTGCGGTTCCCCTGCGAATATAGACAATGGAAAATACGTCTTGCTGAACGGCACCACAAGCGTTGAAAGTCTAGCCGAGTACTCTTGCATCGAGGATTATTGGATGAACGGACAGAAGCAACAAAAGTGCACCAGGGAAGGAAAATGGTCGGCTGATGCTCCGTCTTGTGAACGTGAGTATTTAGTTAATTGGTTCCATTTAATCTTAATCGTTAACCTTACTTTTAATTCAAGTTATAACCTGCGAGGAACCGGAAGTACCCGCCGGAAGTTACGTAGTCGGGTACGATTTCAACGTTCATTCCGTCATCGAGTACCATTGCGAAGTCGGTCACATTCTAATTGGAGAATCGTCGCACACGTGTAACAGCAATGGCGAATGGTCCGGTACCACCCCTAACTGTGAATGTGAGTACTTTCATAAAAATAAGAATCGAAAAATTTGTAATAACGAATAAAACTTTCTAGTTATCGATTGCGGCAAAGTTCCTGAATTTCAAAACGGCGATTTGATATATGTCAACGCGACTACGTACCTAAATAGCCAGATCACGTATACTTGTTACAAAAACTTTAGGCTAAACGGAGTACCGAAGAGAATATGCCAAGAAAATAGAGAGTGGAGTGACACTCCTCCAAAATGCGAAGGTACTACCTAACCTGAAAGGAAATTTTTTCTTTGCTAACGTTAACATCTTTATTTTACAGAAATTAGATGTCCAGAAGCAACTTTGGCCGATCACAGTATTCTTTCTGTAACCGGAAACGACAGGATCTACGGTAGGACATTGATAAGAACACAAGAATCCTCTAATGGAGCATCTTCGTACAAAATTGGGGCGCTGTTGAAGTACAGGTGCGAAAGAGGTTATAAAATTGTCGGAGAACCTTTAAGAACTTGCGAAGATAACGGAAGATGGAGTGGGAACATTCCCGAATGTGTTTGTAAGTAAAAATTGATATAAATTGTATAAAAAATTGAATGGGTTTTGTAGGCGAATTTAATACATACATTTTTATTAAAATATATTGTCAGGAAGATACACTAAAATTTTCATATGAAATTTCTAGACGTTGATTGTGGTACTCCAGAAAATATATCCAACGGAAATGTGATGCTTCCATCAAATGCTACGTACTACGGAGGTCTGGCTTTGTATACTTGTAACGCAAATTTCGAACTTGACGGCGTATCTCGGAGATTGTGTCAAGAAAATGGTACCTGGAGTTCAGATGCACCTAAGTGTAAAGGTAATACGTTGTATATATTTTATAAATTAGTTCTGATATTTGTCATAGACGGTTTGTAAATATTTTCAGTAATGGAGTTGGCGCAGTCAGTAGGATTCGTACCTAGTTTATTTAATTTATACATCAACTAATTGGTTATTTTTGAACAATTTGATGTTCTATGTTTTTATTGATGGCGATTTTCATTGATCTGCAGAGTACATTTTTAAGAAAATGCGATTTTTTTTTTTTTTTTAGAAATTCAATGTAAAGACCCAGAAACACCGAACGGCCAGTTATTTACCGTCAGCACTTACAGCGTTGGAGGTGTAGCTAAATACCAATGTCCAAGAGGCCACAACATGGAAGGAAACGATACCAGAATTTGTATGAAAAAAGGGAGCTGGAGTGGTTCACCACCTTTATGCACCGGTTAGTTTTTTAATAGTCATTCTAATTTTTTACAGATTAATTTACGTTACAATCATGTTTTAGCTGTCGACTGCAAACAACCGGAAGACATAGAAAACGGTAGAGTGCTGGTAGTAAACGGTACGACTTACAACAGCGCCATTGAATATCATTGCGTTCCGAATTTCGTCAGAGTCGGAGCTTACTTAAGAAAATGCATGGAATCAGGAGAATGGTCAGGGGGAAGCACCAACTTGCAAAGGTATTTGTTTTTCTCGCAAAACCGAATATATTTATTTTTTCTTGTTTAATAACGTTCGTGTTTTTTTAGTTCCTTCAGAAGCCCCTCAAGATTCTTCCAATATGACAACCCATATAGGCATCGGTGCTGGTATAGTACTATTCCTGTTGTTGCTCTTGGGAATAATTTACTTAAAATTGTAAGTAATAACGAATTGAACAAGTGACATTTGGCAAGTGAAATTTGACATATTATAATAACTCTGACATGATCATTTTAACAACCAAACACTTTTCAGGCGAAAACCGGTTGCCGTTAAAAACACGGAGAACGTAGAAGGAGCGGAGCGTAAAGAAGACAGAAACGCGGCGGTTATGAGTTACGCTACGTTAAATGACAGGAACGGTTATGCGAATGGTGGTACCCCCAAACGTTTACGAAAACGTCCACGGAGAGGAGAACATGTACGATGCACCATACGAGGAAGGGGGTAGAAGAAGTAGCGGCGAATACGAACCGGAACCGGTTGGAAGAACCAATGGAATAACTATAAATGGAGTGGCTGTGAGATGAACAATCAAAAACGTCGATTTGATAAATTTATTTCGTATAGGGACTGAATTTACTTTAATTAGAAAGATTCTCCGTTCTCAAAATTGTCATAATTTGACAGATGAGAATTGTTGACATTTGTGACAGTTGACAATTATTATGACTGGATGCTTATTTGAATTTCAAACAAGAAATGCGAACCAGAAACCCTTTCAATTGAATTTTACGTTAATTTTGATCTTTAATTTAAAATTGTACTGAGTAGGCCAAAGCATAAGATTTTATAATTCGGGTTGGTTTCCGTTTTTATACTAACTCTGTGATACATTTTGAGTTACAAAACATCAACCCTATAGAGTTTATTATATAAATGGGTGAAATAAGCTATTGAAAACCTGTTTATTTGCATTTATTTGAAGCAGTTACCAAATGTTTTCGATTAGAGTTAGTGCAACTTTGTTAAGGATATTAAGGATTTAAAAAATATCCTGCTTATCTTTTTTTTAAACATTATAATATATATTTAAATATAACGAACTTTTTCATTGATTAAAACTGCCGAAATATTGTTAAATTGTAATTAATAAATTGCACATCTAAAATGAAAGTTTGATAAATATGTTTATAGATACTTGTATAATTTTTGGTGTTTTGTAAATATTAACATTTCATTTATGTAAATATCCATTTTGTATTAAATGTAGATAGATATAACTGTTGTATAGAATATTTCTTTTAATTTGTACCATATAATAAAACATTCTTTTAAACATGCATTTTTATTCATGTTGTATACCAGAGATTATATTCTTCAGTGTGGGTAATTCTTAAACGAGTACATTTTGCAGTTACAAGTAGACTTCATAATTATTTTACAAAATTATGTAATTTTTTATAATAGAATATAATATTTCAAATTATGTTTTAACAAATGAATAGAACTATTTTCGTTTTATAAAAGTAGCTTTGCTTGAATATTATATTTAAAGGCAAAATGTTACCTCCATGCGTTGTAACATCAATGAATTAACTATCTTGAGCATACAGTTTTAGTTTTTTCACATATATTTTAAAACTAACATGCATTTTGCGAAAATAAAGTCATAAGTCCATTAGGGAAGTGTGAATAGATGGGAAACTTAATGGTAAAATTCTGAGGCGATGTGCTGCCATTTATCAAATTGGAGTGGTACTAAATTCAATATGGCCGCATTGGGCGGGCTTTTTGAAATTTAACTTTCTGCATGATTTTCTTTATATAAGCCAGAAACAAAGTATGGCTCAATATTGATCCTTAGGGAACACCTTACTGTACCTCATTTGTAACACTCCGCTCGGCGCCATTCAGCGATACATACTGTTTCTTAAGTGACAAATAACTTTGGAACCAACTAAGAACAAGGTCTCTAATTCTTGTCATTTCGAGTTTTCACAAGAGAATATAATGATTAACTGTATCAAATTCTTTTTTAAATTTAGAAACAGTGCACTTTTTTTCACTGTCCGTTTTTGCCTGAATTTCTGAGATTAGACCAAAAAAATTTAAGAAATTTAGAAATCACAAATGATTTTTTCACGGATTTTTGAGAGAATAGCCACATAACAGAAAAAGGCAACACACTAACACTTGTCCATAGTTATTAATAAGGTTTTTTCACCATCATTTATCGACTACGTAGCGTAGGTGTCTATGGTGCTCGCATTCATTTGCGAGCCAATTTTGTGGTAAAGAGCTTCGAATCCTACGGAAGACCGTGTGATTTGATTTGCATGGTCCTCTATTCGCTCCGTGCGTAACGGCAGTGCCAACCAAAATATGTACTAAAGGGGAATTTTTCGTGTATTGACAGTATCATTTTTAATAGAATTCCTAATTAAAAAATGTATTAATCTCAAACGTGTATTCAAAATTTATTCCCAAAAAATAGTTGTAATATTGTAATATTTTCGAATGTAATTAATGTATACTTGTTTTCTTCATTTTTAGTTCGAAAGAAAACATAGAATTAATTATTAAATAACTGTTTTCCAATCACTCAGTCACAAAATTGCATTCCAGATACAGACAATAATCACAATCAAAGGCAGAAATATTTCGATTTTGAACATGTATTTAAGGAATTTTGAAGAACATCGTAAAATAAAAATAATTTAAGCATATAAAACCTTTCAGTTTTCTGATGTCTACTATTTTCAATAGGTATTAGATACGCTTGTTACAAAAATAAAAGTTTGTATAATTACTTTTCCCTTCTTACTGTAAGTATAGGTATGTTTATTTCTTTGATTTAATTACCATTTTTCTACTGAACATTTATAAAATACAGTGTTTTCTCTCTCTAGTATTTCTACAATTTACAACACACCAACTCCGGTTGCTCAATGTTGTAATGAAGTCAATTTTTTCTCAATCAGTTTATTTTCATTTTTAATAAATATTAGACGCGATTGAACTGTTGGTCCTGAGTTAATTTACATGCGCGAACGCCGATCGAGTATCGCTGCGCGGTGGGACTGGCGTTGGTGGGGTCTCTGATAGGGAAAGGGAATCAGTAGTTGAACGAGGCCCGAGATGAAATTAAAATTTTGAGTTCGATATAATATTTGATCGTCAGCAGTTTAGAATATTAGCCGCCTCCTCAAATCAATTCACCGCCGATAATTTCTTTTCTTTCTCGTGTTTAAATTTAAATAACTTTCAATAGTATCCTGTCCCTGTCTGAACGGGCTCGTGATGACGATCAGTTCATTCTTGGATTAGGTGATATCCGCGTTAGTTTTCTTATTCCCAGTGTATTCTTCATTTTGTTTTTCACACAAATTGCAAATTAAAAAAAATCTTAAATAGCTTCATTACCCTGCCTGAGCGAGCTCGTGATGACGATCTGCTCAGTCTGGGATAATAGGCTACCCCGGGTATAAATTTATTTTTATTTTCTTTCCGTATATTTACTATAAGTAATTCTTTCGCGTCCCTGTCTCCTCGCACTCTCTATGACCGTTTAGATAATTTTTCCTTACCGAAAAAGTAAAATTATGTTTTAGTTTAATTCCCGATACAACAGTTAAATAGTTAATTTTTGCTACGACCGTTCTTAGAATTCTCCCTTATCGAAATGGGAAATTACGTTTTGGTTTAATTACCGACTTAATAGCCAAGTTAATAATTGTTTTTCTGCGACCGAAACATTCATTTTATTTTAATTCAATTTTGACGTCTGATTGAGACTAGTCGGGATTCAATACCGTCCGTTTTGTTTACTTATTTTTTTGTTCAGGGTTATATTGACTATCACCACAACTGGGGTTGGCGTTGAAATATATAATTTCTTTTTTTTATGTTGTAAAATGTAAATAGTTCAAAACAATATATGTGTCAATGTTAACTTGCCGTATTACTGGTTACTAATTCCATATTTTATTTCCCCCTTGTATTTCAGCTAGTGATAAGTTCTGTGTACCAGCCCAAGTAACGATTAAAGCCCGTTACTTGTGGCCTACTATTACCTGTGTCTAAGTGACCTTTGATCCCTGGAATTTTTCATCTCCATCTGTAGCTACCCGAGTACTTTCGACGCCGTTTCGAAAGTTTGAGGAGTAAACCATTACCAAAAATCTGGCGCTCGAGAACCGCCCGTAACCAGCGCCATTCGTAAGGAACCGTTTTCTCTGTGGCGAGAAAGACCTTACAATGTATTGCTTTTAACAATTTTTTTTAAAAGAAGTAAAATATATACGTATATTTGATACGACAAAATTACAAAATATCGCCCTAAAATGCACGAATTATCCGCAGCTAGCGCTAGTCGCTTTTGCTTCCATGACTTCGCACTGAGCGAATAGGATTTGATGGATGCCGTATTAGCAGAAATTTAATTTCTGTTGATATGACATCCAGATTATAAAAATCGCCGTGGGTTACTGTTTTCGATGATGGTGGGTGGGGTTTTCTGGGTTTTTCACCTGTAAATCAAATGGCGCCATATTGTATTTTTAAATGGTCAATAAATATTATAATTATAGTATTTTTTTAATTGAATGCTAGTTACCCTTAATATCTTGTTCAAAACAATTTATTATTTATTTTATGCCAATATTTCGGGAATCACTTGCGTCGGCGCACAGGTGTTCATTTGAAAACGGACTTTTTTACCTTAAAAGCAATTAGTACCGAATGAACCGCTCTATGGACGAAATCGAGAGTTTTGTGGTTTTCTTTTATTTTTTGTTCTTCGGTGCCACTTTGCCAGAGAAATCCGTGAGCGGCCCCCAATAACTCCAGAGCCCAGACAAACAACCATCAGGTTAGTCTCCCGTTAAATATTGGCTATTGGTGCAACTGTAGAATTATTGTTTGAAAAAAATATATTGTGATTCATTCGAGAATCGCCCCGTACCAGTCCCTTTTTATGGATATCTGACCAAAACTTATATAACTTATCTAAACTAAATCTAGTTTTCAGTTAAAAAAAAAATAATTAAAATCAGAAATTCTCCACTTTAACACACTGTATCCCAAAAACTGATCAAAGTCTCAGATTTAAAATTGATACACCTTGAAACAGTGGTAAAATTATTATAGTCCAGGATCCGTAAGTAAGGTCGACCTTCACCTATTTGTTTGATGGATAAAAGTTTTTTTTTTAATAAATAAAATATGTTTTTAAATATACCGCAAATGGGTTGCCTAAGAAAATACGGTCACGGCCATTTTGTTACTTTCCTTTTTGTGTACAGATAAGGAAAGTATAGGAATCATGATAAAAGTTGCTTATGATGTCATTCTCTATTATTTTGTCACTATATATGATTTGCCTAAAATGAACCTAATTCGTGATATTTGAGAAAAAGTGCAAATTTCGAATTTTGAAGTTTGGAGGTAAGACATATTTTAGTGGTATTGCTTTTCCCAAAAATCAATTCATAAATACAAAGGGTTTCGAATTAATCCTTTAAAAAATAATTTTATGTTGTGTTTCTCTCTAAAACACTCTGTATAAGAAATGTGTTCTATGCAATATTTTGTCGCCAAAAATAACATATTGAATAGTACTTTTTAAAAATATTGTCGTCACAGTGGAATTAGTGAGATTTTACAAAAAAATTACTATCATACATTTGTGAATCAACCTGTAATTAAAAATAATATTATTAATTGTACGTATCTAATAATATATTATTAAAACATGTATTAAACGTATGTAATGTATGTATGCAACAGAAATTCAATCTAGCTCGTAAGTTTGAAAATAAAAATTCCGAAAAATTGGTAAATTTTCAACTTTAACACATATATCGAAAACTAGTCATAGGATTGAGTTGGCTCCACTGACACTTTTGATTACTAGATTGCTTCAAGCGAACATGGACTCCATCTCACCGAAATAAAACTTTCATAAGTCATATAAAGTTATAATAGAACAAATAGAAGAGCCGGAAGTGGCAGGTACGATTCATATCTACACCGACGGTTCTAAAACAAAACAAGGCTCAGGATGTGGAATATACTCCAGATTTTTAAACCTAAACATAAAATGGGCTGTGAGCAGTAGTTCTAGTGTAGTTCAAACAGAGCTAACGGGGATTCTCATAGCAGCAAAAGAAATAACGAGAAACAATATCACTGGAAGGAACATGCTCATCTATACAGATAGCAGACAAGCACTACTCACCCTGAACAGACCACGAATTTATTCAGCGTTACTACTAGAATGTCACGAAGCTTTGGCCCAAGTATCCATCAACAATGTGGTCACGCCACATCGAAAGGTAACCGTCTTGCTAAGAAAGCAGCCAACCAAATACTTTTTGGACCTGGCCCTTCTATTGGCCTGACAAAATCGGTAGTGACAGACCTAATCAAAGAACATTCCCTTGTGAAATTCAAGGAAATATGGGATGAAACAAGAAACTGCAGAGTTGCCAGGGAGCTCTTAAGTTATCCTGACAACACTGCAGCAAACAAATACTTGACTATGACTAGACAGAATCTGCGCCTAGTCACCAGGCATTTTGACTGGTCATTGCCAAGTACGAAAACATCTCTATATGGGGCTGTCAGAATCCGCACTCTGCAGAGGGTGCGAACAAGAAGATGAGACCATCGAGCATATTCTTTACGATTGCTCGACGCTCTCATTTATTAAAAGATTTGTGTTCGGCGAGTATCGGCTAACTCCGGCCAATATAAGAGAAGCACCTCTTGGCGACATTGTCAACTACATTAAATCTGTAGGCTGGCTCACGAGCTAGGAGGTGCCTATCATCTCAGGAGGAAGCACAATGGGCCTAATGAGGCCTAAGTGCCGTAGGGTAACCCACCCTCCACACGTTACAGATACTAGATTGAGTACAGCATACCAAAGTTTAAAAAAAATTGACTGATCGCCACTTTACATTAGGAAAGTACGGAGTCCTTTGGTGAAAGGGGGTTTTTCATGATTCTCAATAAGAATCAAAAAACTAAACATTTTTAATTTAATGAACGTAATATGTCCGAAAGCGGCTTGTTTCCGGGATACAGGATGGTTAGGTTAGTTAGAAAGTGTGAATTTATATGCTTTTTCTTCTTTTGAGCAATACTGTAGAATTACTGAAAAAAAAAAGAAAACTCGAGTTTGTACACTGTTAAAAATATACTTTATTTACATAAATAACTATAATATGTAAAATAGAACTCAAAAATATAATTCCGAGTTTTACAACATCGGTGATATCGCGCTCTCTCTCTTACAAGGGATAATTGAGATCCTCTTCCGCTCTTTCGAGCGGTACTCGATGTAGTGAAATTTTATCTTGATGATTGATCTGTATATAATAAATGAATAGCTAATACCCTTAGATGCGGGAATACGATTTGCCTAAATCACGTGAGGTAGAGGGAAAACTGTGCAAGTTGATTAAAACTTTGACACATGTGACCACTAAGATAAAATAAAGAGAAGATGCTATGACGATATTAAAAGTGCCCGCACCTTTGCCATACAATATTTTCGTCAAACTCGTGCTAGTGGAGCTTCATTTAAATGATAAAAAAATATTTTCATTCAGGCAATCTACAAAAAAATTATTGACTTCAAATCAAAGTACGCCATTTTAATTACACTTTTTTCTACACCCGTATTATAATAATGCACTTATATGCCCATAATCCGTTTCATAATGATACCCATTATGATACAGATTTTTCATTACGATACAGATTTTTAATCAATAGAAACCTACAATTTTTCAATCAAGCATGCTGTTTGACGTTTGTCCTAGGTTCCTATGTAATTATTTTAGTTGTCAAAACGTATTAAATTTTCGTAGGTAGCTAAACTTCGATAATTATAATATTAAAATGTCTGATATTAGCGATATAGAAGACTCCTCCACACATATCGGAGAAAGCAGAAAATACAGTACAAAATATTTTACCGCAAAAATCTAGGGAAATACCAATACCTGAAGTAATACCATTAATTACAATTTTGTAGAATTTTTTATAGAAATACGAGTAATTACTGTTATTGTGTTCAATACCAATATAAATATAATATTTATAGGTCTTGATTATTTATCGGGTGTAGAAAAAATAGCGTATGCAACTCTCATGTAATGGTTATTAAAACACTCGCATAAACCATACGAAACTCGCCTTTGGCTCGTTTCGTATCCCGGTTAATGCTCGTGTATTAATAACCATCATTACATGATCGTTGCATAATATACTATTCCATCACTGTACATTCATTCATTAAAAAGTCTTTATTTCTATTTTAAAATATATACATCTCAATTTAAAATAATTTCTTTGGGTAGGTTCCCAGGGGGTATTTGGTTACCAGGCAGATGATCGCCTGTAAACGATTTAATTGCTTAACTCATTTTTTGGTGTTTTAGCAACTTAGCATGTTTTGATTTATACGTTGTACGCAGTAAGTGACCTGAACTTGTGTTTGTGGCGAATGTTAGTTTTGTCTGGTCCCCTTTGGAAAAGCATTTGAAAAAACCAGAGTTGTCTGAGTGTGGGCGAAAAGTGTCGTCGTTTTAGATTTTCGATTTTCAATCTCTGACGTCACGGATAAGTCTACCGTCCGAGCAGATTTCAAGACGACTTGGTATCTGCTTGGAAGGCCGGCCTCCCCGTTTAGTCTTTCGCCAATCAGAGTGTGATTCTGTTAGCAAGATATTGAACGTGTGTTTGCGTTATTTTGTCATTGTCGACGTCTGTAAATTGAAATATTTTTGTGCAGACAACCATTAGCACTGTTGTCTTCGTTGACATTTATAATTTCTTTTTTGAGATCTGGTGGGAGATATGTCAGAATTTTTCAGATATTTTGATTACAAATTCCTTAATAGGAGGCATGTTTGTTTGTGTGTGGATGTCGGTTGTCCTTGTATATCTAAGAGTTTGGTGATTGAAGGTGGGTCCCAGAATCAGCCTCAGTCACCTGTTTTGTACTCGTTGGAGTTTAAGAAAATGACTTTTGGCCATTGAAGAGTATACTTAACAGCCATATGTTAAAATTGGTATTACGATCTGTTTATACAGCAGGATTTTATTTTGTAGTGTAACTTTACTGCGTATACAACATCGGGTAAAGTAAACTAGCATAGCAAAATAGTGTTTATGTCGTCTCTATTTCTTTCTATCTCGATGCATGTAACGCTTGCGACAATCATTTGTTATTTTTTGTGTTAGTTTTTAGTCCCGGGACAAAGGGTAATGAGATTGCAGATAGTGCAAGGAAATGGACTCAAAACACCCTTTCTGGGATCTGACCCGTTTTGCCAATTTGAGAAAGTTTCTGAGCTCTCGAATGCTTTAGACTTTATACAAATCTGAATAGAATTTTGATGAAATTAAGTAATCCTGGTATACATCAAAATTGATAGCGGTTGAGCGACCTTTATAAAACCCATGCTGGTGAGAAGAAATTAATTTTTATATATAGAAAATACCTCATCAGTCAGAATAGATTCGAATTATTTAAGTATAGTGGAAATCAAACAGATCCCGCTATAGTTTTTGATGTCAGATTTGTCGCCGTTCTTATAAATTGGTATTAAGTTGGAGAATATAATTTTTAACAGTGCATATTCTCTTTAAATAATACTGTTTGAAATTATAAACTTTTTCTGTACAAATCGAAATAACCTTGGACTAGGAAAATAAATCGTTCTTTATTAAAAACGACACGAAGGGGGTACATTTTATGATGAGTAGCTATAACATCGAAATTGTCCACGAGCCGTCACTGACTGTAATCACTGAAATAACCCAGTCTTTCACTAACTTTTCATAGAAAAGCTTAAAATGCACAAATGACACCACGGCTTCTTTGGAACAAAAAAAAAATGGCGGCCAATCGATATTTGGTTGCAATCCTCTTGTGTCAAACTGAAATACAATTTACACGTCCCCTCTTTTCTAGTATACAATTAAACATTTAAAATTTTATTCTGTAAAATATCCTCAAAACATTCTTTTTGGCAATAACCATTGATATAAGTATTTCATTTTTAATTACCAATTAATGTATAAATCTAATTGAAATACATTATATTCACATATTCAAATAGGCGCGGCCGTTAGGGAACAATTTCCTTATTAGTTCGAATTTTCTAGATGCGCAATATTACACCTTGTTATTCATGATATTAGCTATTAATTTATTATATTCAGATCAATAAGGAATATTATCTTTGAGTTGATGTAGGTACACAAAAGATACTACTTTTTTACATTCAGAAACGCACCAATCAGTTGATTAAAATGATAAATAACAATCAATAGCTTCTAATCGCTCTATTCCTTGTTGCCCTTCTTTTGTTTCTTGAGAATATCGTGTATATCCTGCAAAACAATAAAAAAATAAAATAATTTTTTTTATATTTTTGAATTTTTGTCAATTTCGTCATGACAGGGTGACAGAAAGTGTTACACAAAGAATTTGCAAGATAATAAGGTTTTATTTACACCAGAATGAAGCTTATACAATGCCATTTACGATGTGTATCAAGTATGGAAGATAATATCATCTAGATTAGATGGTCGCGTTGAGTGCAGTTTCCAGAAATCGCCCATAACACGCTCCGACATCGCTCGATCAATAATTATGATTTCCTGACAGCATTCTTTAAGTCCTCCAAATTAGGGGGCTTGTGAGTATACACTCGATTCTTTAAATACCCCCACAGGAAAAAATCACAAATTGACAGATCTGGAGACCTTGGGAGCCACGGCACATCTCCAAAAGGTGAAATGAGTTTTTCTGGGAATATGTTGCGGACAACATTCATTGATGCGTTAGCAGTACACCACACCATATATTTCTTGGATTTATGTTTTCTGCGTAGTTCTGGCATAAATTTTTTTGGATCATTTGAACGTAGGATTAGAATTAACGATGACGGTACACCCGGCCTCTTCGAAAAAAATAGGGACCGCTATTGCAATTAGAACCGATGGCACACGCCACTGTGACTTTTGAAGAATGAAGAGGTCGTTCATGGATATTTCGTGATTTTCAGGAGCCCAGTACCTGAAGTTCTGTTTATTAACTGATCCATTTAAATGAAAATGGGCTTCGTCGCTCATTAGAAGCTGCAGACCTAAATTGTCTTCCAAAACCACTTGCATTCTCGTAGCGAAATCCTCACGAGTTTCAAAATCTCTTTAATTGCTGAAGAATCTGTAGTTTTTAGGGGTGGAATTTTAAATGCTTATGCAAGATTCTCCTAACCGATTCCCGATTAATGTTCAACTCCATTGCATGTTTTCAGGCGGACCGTGAAGGACTTCTGATGAACGACTCTCACTCGCTCTACGTTTTCAGGGATTCTCACGGTACGTTGTGGACCTTGTGACTTTTTCTTCATTATACTGCCAGTTGTTCTTAAATTATCAATCCATCTTATTATGTTGTGTTGCGAGACGGAACAGCTCCCCGTCGAGCAATATTAAAATGAATGCGAAAAAGCTGCTGTGTAGTTATCACTGACTCACCGTTTCAGATAAACGTGTCGTATGCAAACATTCGATGCTCTACTGTCCATTGGTTCATTGTTACTGAAATGGCACAACACTACAAAGGACTCGCGTATCGGGACAACACTAATGATTGCTGTGGTGGGAGGTGTTTGTGTGAATGCGTCTTGTTTGTTTTCATTTACGCCGTGACTAGCAGTACAAATTTCATATACATGAACAAATAATAATACCGTGACAACAAAAAGACGAAGCAACGAATTCTTGTAGGGTGGCGGCTTCGCCGCCACCAGAAAATTTCAACCATACCTGGCTACGCCGACCGGCATAAACACCAACGGCCTGGACACAGCTCACTTACTCTGTCAAAAGGAGACCGATGTACAAATAAAACGCGTACGACATGCGCACTACAAATCATTAGTGTTGTCCCCGATATGCGATTCTACAAAGGCTGTAACATCGCAAGTACTCTCCTCTAACCGCGGTAAGTACCGTACTATGCGTTCCAAAAACATCCGGTTCCCGTGTGTCACCCTGTATTTATTCTGAAGTTTGTTATACAGATACTTTAAATACTACTGGTGCGTGCGACACATTACCTCAGTATAAGTAATAACATGGTAGGGACAGTTCATTGTTTATCAGGGGTTCAGATTTTCCAACACATGTCCCTGACGGCAAATAAGTCATATAGGCGTGTGTTAATATTGTCAATCGATTAATGGTGGTAAATTGTTTTGATTTTTATATTGTTTGTTGTGCATACTTTTGATATTTTTATTGTATTTAAACTTAGTTTTGTTTTTCATTCTGGTGTAGGTATTTCTGCCGCGTGACCGGATATTTACATTTTTTATTAAGATTTTAAAAAATTACTAAATCTAGTGACAAACATTGTTTCCAACATAAAAATCAAGTGAGAAATACAGTTACCAACCTAAGAAAAACGTTATTATATTTTGAAAAATTACTAAATCTAGTGAAAAAATTGACATAATGAACCTTAAAATTTGTTATGGAAATTAACGCGTGAAAAATACGCGACTTGTCTCAGAAGCCCCATAGCACATACTTTGATTTTCTTTTACTATACGGAGAATGGTCGCACTGCGCAGCTTTCTGAGTGCCTTTTAAAAGGAGACAGAAAACTCCGCCATTTTGATCCCTTATTACGTGTTGCCTACATCTTGGCGCAATATTTTTAATAGGTGCGTTTTAATCATCCGCTTCTGCTTCGGAATTGTCGGTTTTCTTGTTTTAATCTGACAGGTTAATAATAATAATAATGTCTTTATTAAAAAAATTATTACATTACATTTGCACCAAGAAGGCGAAGATTAGCTGAAGCTACTCTTTAACTCTTAACCTTCTTGGTTTACAAAAGAAAATGTTAAATTAAAACGACTAAACCGACAATTCCGGAAGCAGAAGCGGATAATTAAAACGAACCTGATATTTTGCTTGCTGCTGTCAGTGTCAGTGAATATTATTTTTGGAGTCACAGTTTATTGCTAAAGAATCAGTTAGCTCACTCAGACCAGTTGAAAGTTTCAAAATAACATCCACTCCAAGGATACAAATTCAGAATACGCAGAAGACTGCTGTTTTATTATAGGCGGTTGTCATATATTGTATTATCCGAGTTGCGCAGTGTATAAACTGGAACATTGAGATCAAAAGTGCCGACGCAGAGTGAGCGATCTGATTCTCTAGCTATAAACTGTGGCATAGGAATCAAAACGGCCGCGCCCTATGTTGGGCGTGTCGGACCTCTCTCTTGCACCGTATAGTAATCAAAGTATGTGCCCCATAGGCACTCTTCTCAAATATCTAACGACGTCATGTCATAATTGTCATATTGACTTATTCTAAACTTTAAATGAAAACTAAATATCCTTAAAAATAGCACAAACTGGCGATTTAATTTCCTGTGAATTCACAATTTCAATTTCCAGTTAGGGTCTAGTCAAAATTGAGTATCTAATTTAGGCTGTTTGTCTCAAATCAAACACAACACATTATTTATTAGCATTACTAGCACTATATCATTAATTACTTACCAATTCTTCATCACTAGAATTATCATCTCCAGCTGGATCGTCTGTAAATAAAAGAAAAAGTCTGAAAACCAAACGGATTATTTTTAACCTAAACCGTACGACCACTTAAGTGCACAATGCACTGGTAGAGAAAAAATCCCATCAGTATAATTTGAATCAGAATAACTTTAAATCAATATAACTTTAAATCAGTATAATTTTAACTTTAAAACGATATAACTTTAAAACGGTTAACTTTAAAGTAACGCACTCGTTCTGCTTCGCATCATTCGAATAGTTATTCTTTCGAACAATAAAACTTTCTCTAATAAAAAACTTACCAAATTCCAATTCAGCCTTAATATCTCTGATCGGAAAATTCGCGCCGACGTCCCAATCGAAGTTCTCAGCGCTATCGTCGCACCTCTCGGACGATTTTTCCAATCCTCCCACAGGCGGGCTATCACTCGATTCTTTCGCCGAACTATTTACATCTGGGCGATCGTTAGAAGCGGCCCGCTTTTCACAACCATCACGAGAAGGAGTACACGCATCAACTGGGAGATCAGGTGGTAGATAGGCAGAGATATGAGTATTATTATCATCACTTTTGTCGTTTTGTTCTGTTTTAATTAAAATGGGTACCGGTAGGATTAAACTGTTCGCGGCGATATCCTGAATCTCGACATTTCTGGGAACGACACGTTGGACGCCAATTTTTTGGGCGGATAAATTGCTTTCGTCTTCCCGTTTAACACTAACGATATCATCTGTAGAATTATCAGCATCATTAAGTGGAGGTTCAGATCCGATTGGGGTGTTAGAGTTATTTGGTTGCAGGTTTTCACTACTAGGTCTGACATTAATAGTATCTCGAATGACTCTAAATCGGATTGGAACGCTATGGGGAACATAATCTTCTTCCTTTATTTGCTCTTGCTTTGTAACGAGTCGAGTATTTGAACATTCTGTTTGGCTGTTTGTTTCATCATAATGGTCCGGCAATCCTGGTGATTCTGCTTCACTCTTTATCTCGTCGTAATGGTCCGAAAATCCGCAATCACTGTCTTGGTATCGGTTAGTTTCTACGCCCTGAGAATAATAATGCAATTAGTTAACTTTAAGGTACATGGGTGCCTGAAAAAGCAAAAGGTTTCGAAGACTATCAGCATGGCTACTTGAATTTACCTCATCGTTTCTTTCCTCTTTAATGATAACGTTTCTAGGTAAGTAAGTATAAGGTGCATCAAAGTCCTCTGGTCCAAATCTCGTCCGGTAATCACCAGGTCGCTGATACAGTTGGATTTTCGTCTCCTCTTCCTCGTCTTCATCTTCGGTCAAAGGACGAGGCTCTGGCGTTTGGACGTCTTCATTATCCCAATGGGACACGTCAATGTCCCACGAGTTGATATTATTATTGGTGCCGTTTTCTAATGGGGTGCGTGCGGGGAGTTGCACCCTGGTCTCTCCAGGCAGACCTACTGTGCCGTGTAACCGTCTGAATCTTGGATACAAAAAAATCACTTATATATACTGAGGAGCGGCGAATAATTGGGTTTATTTCAACTGCGTAACAATATATAAATTAAACGTTATATCAACTCTTACCTAACAATAAGACTCTTGGAATGCAACTGCGACGAATAGGTTTTCTTGAAAGCTTCGATAGCATCGTCGACGGTGTAAAACGAGACGAACGCGTATCTCGTATATTTCATCTTCCTAGCGTATCCGATGTCTATGCGTTTCTGTTTGGGATACGTTTTAATAATATCGTCCTTGGTTATATCTTGAGCTAGATTCCCGACGTATAACGTTAACGGATCGATATCACAAGGCCGGATAGTTTTTTCATCCTGTTTGTCATTCTTGTGCTCGGCGGTCAGGTAGCCGAGGCCAAAAGGGATTTGATTTATGTGTCTGATGACCGTTTCCGGATCGGCAGAATCCTGCGGAGATTTATAAATAAATATTGTTAGAAAATTTTTAATTGAGTTAAAGGAAGCCTTTAACACACTAGATTAAATATATCATAATTTATCATAGTTTAACATAAGTGATCATTATTTATTGTAATAGATCATATTTTATCATAATTTATGATAATGTATCAATCATAATTAATTATAATTCATCATAATTCATCACAATTCATTATAATTTATCATAATTTATCATAATTTATCATAATTTATTATAATTTATCATAATTTATTATAATTTATCATAATTTATCATAATTTATCATAATTTATCATAATTTATCATAATTTATCATAATTTATCATAATTTATCATAATTTATCATAATTTATCATAATTTATAATTTATCATAATTTATCGTAATTTACCATAATTTATCATAATTTACCATAATTAATCAAGGGAAGGAAGCTTTTTGATTCAACAGATTGAATCTATTATACTGTGTCTATTCTCTTCGACAATTTAGAACACGATGATGAAAAATCGATATTTATCTTGATACTTACCACTAACGACACAAAGCAATATCTTGGCGTCGAAGGTTGCTGAAAATGCACAGTCTCGATACTGGTATGAAAATTAGTCACGATGTCCCTATTCAACTCCTGATCTGGAAATTTGATAATCAATCCTTGTCGTCGCGACCTTTTGTTGCATTCCATTTCTACGTCCAAGGCCGCCTGGGCTTCCTCCGTGGTCCAACTAATTTTTAGAGGTCCCACCTTCGACAAAGGCCTCTTCTTTTTCTTATAAAATTTTTTCTGTTCGACATTTTCTGCAATAATAATTTTTCATAATCATCATAGATTATCATAATTAATCATAGTTCAACATAAGTGATAATAATTTATTATAATTTATCATCATACTAGCGGACCCGACAGACGTTGTCCTGTCTTAACTATGAATATTGATTTCGTATAATTCGTATAATTAAATAAAAAAATATTTCAGAAACAAAGTGTTTATTATTCTAATGCTTTATGATATACAACATTCTTTGTTTTTTTTCTGGACAATAACAAACACAACAAAAAAAGAATTAGCGAAATCGGTCCAGCCGTTCACGCGTGATGCCGTGACTAAGGGAAATAGGGATTCATTTTTATATATATAGAGATTTTCTAATTTTTCGCGCAATTTTCTTAATTTTTTCTTTCATAAGAACCTTCTCCTGATAATAACAAACACAACAAAAAAAGAATGAGCGAAATCGGTCCAGCCGTTCACGCGTGATTCCGTGACCAAGGGAAATAGGGATTCATTTTTATATATATAGAAATTTTCTAATTTTCCACGCAATTTTCTTCATTTTTTCTTTCATAAGAACCTTCTCCTGACAATAACAAATACAACAAAAAAGAATTAGTGAAATCGGTCCAGCCGTTCACGCGTAATGCTGTGACCAAGGGAAATAGGGATTCATTTTTATATATATAGAAATTTTCTAATTTTCCAAGCAATTTTCTTAATTTTTTCTTTTATAAGAACCTTCTCCTGACAATAACAACAAAAAAGAATTAGCGAAATCGGTCCAGCCGTCCACGCGTGATGCCGTGACCAAGGGAAATAGGGATTCATTTTTATATATATAGAAATTTTCTAATTTTCCACGCAATTTTCTTAATTTTTTCTTTCATAAGAACCTTCTCCTGACAATAACAACAACAACAAAAAAAGAATTAGCGAAATTGGTCCAGCCGTTGTTGAGTTATGCGCTTACCAACACATTTTGCGATTCATTTTTATATTATAGTACATACTTTATCATAATTTAACATAATTTATCATAATTTATCATAATTTATCATAATTTATTATAATTTATCATAATTTATCATAATTTATCATAATTTATCATAATTTATCATAATTCATCATAATTTATCATAATTTATCATAATTTATCATAATTTATCATAATTTATCATAATTTATCATAATTTATCATAATTTATCATAATTTATCATAATTTATCATAATTTATCATAATTTATCATAATTTATCATAATTTATCATAATTTATCATAATTTATCATAATTTATCATAATTTATCATAATTTATCATAATTTATCATAATTTATCATAATTTATCATAATTTATCATAATTTATCATACTTTAATATAATTTATCATAATTTATCAATGGGGTTCAAGTCAGGAGTTTTTGCTGGCCATGGCAAAACATTAAAGTTCTTGACTCACTCTCTTACTATTTAAGCTGTGTGAAATGGAGAATTATCCTGTAATAAAAATCAATTATAAACATTTATTAGTATAAGAAACTGATATCTTACATGTTAAGAGGTAAATTTGGCAGGAAAAACTTTTCTTTATGTATGTAATGCTCAGCTGTTAATCGCCCATCAATTTAGCTTAAACATTGACGGAAAAACTCCCAGTGATTCTGAGTTTCTAGGACGATAAACTCGTAGCCGTGTTAGAAGATTGATACGCCTTTTCATCGGAAAATAACATGTTCCAAAATTCCTCCTCGTGAATTAAAAATTCAATTGCAATCTGGACGCACCTGCGCTTATTTTCTGCAGTTAAAAACACTTTGCGGGCATTTTTTTTAAGCCAGCTTATTTTAAACGCCTTTGAACTATTCTGGAGACATCCTGGGAATGTTTCTTCTCGTGCTTTCACCGCGTTTCCAAAAAAATATTAAGATAATATTATTTTAATTTTCATTAGAGACTTTCCCTACACCTTGTCTGAAAGGTCTTCGCAGCCTTTGTTCTTCTTGTTAGTTTCTTAACGTGCAATATGAAACTTTTATTGACATTAAATTGAGCAGCCACTTCTCTTAAAAAATAAGTTTCTTCCATAGCCCTCAACTTTTGAGCCTTAGTCAAATAATTCGGCATTTCTAAAAATATATTTGACAATGATTATTAAAAGCTGTCAAATTTGAACGCGACGAACCATTATAATGCAAAGTTTAAATCACACCGTTAAATTCTGGAATTCACATTTCGGTTTCGTCACCTGTAAATTATTACAGATTTCTTGACCCTCTACGATCCTAAAAGTAAAAATGGTTCCAATCGTCTGCCAAATACAGGTTCTACAGGGGTGCTTTCATCTTAAATGTCACAATTTATATACTGAATTTACTCAAGGCTTCGATGGCTACTGAGAGCGTTGGTAGCCGATAGCCGAACAGCTTGCAGGTTATCACCGAATCCCGATAAAGTGACGTTGACCAACCTCCCAATAAAAAGGTGTGCGATTCGTGCCGAAAGGATGCATAGTGGCGACCTCCCGGTAGTAATCAGCCTTACTACGACGGTAATGCCAGGAAACCGGCAGAGAACCTATGGAGGTTATCATAACCCCATCCACCAACGTCATTTCGGAGGAGTTGGTGCTATGCAAATGAAATAATTATCTCAAAATGGACGGAGGATGTAACACTCAAAAACTGGAGAGATATCCCAGGAGTAGGAAAGATTTATGCATTCTCATGCAACCAATGACAGGTCATTGTCATCTACGTAACCACATGAGAAAGATAGGTCTGCAACAAATATCGGACTGTCAATTCTGCAGCATGGAAGACGAATCCGCAGAAAACATTATATGTACCTACTCCGCTTTAAAATGAATTAGGTTCCAGATCTGCAGATTCGCTCGAATGGAGCATATCGACTTTTAAACAGGTCTCACCCTCACCCAATTCAACCATTGCCTTCATCAAAAAGTGTAGCTTGTACAGTGGAACTATAAGATAGACATGAGCAACAATGGATGGCGAAGAGATCATCACACTCATTTTCAACCTAATCTAACCTACTGACTACTTATTCAATCGTAACCACCGTTATTGTATACTAGTAAATTTGATGTATTCCAATAGAGACTAGAATTGAGAAGCTGTCTATGTCTTGTTGATGTGTCCTAATAAGTAGAAACTGGTTTAAGAATAAGTTTTCCTTAGTAAGCAAAATCAAAGGTAGAGTGGAAATTAAATTTATATATCTGTTATATTTCCTTTGGATATCATTCAATATCTGTTGCGGTATTAGCCAAATGAGTAGTTGTTTTCCAAAAGGCCGCTCTTATTTTGTGTGGTTTTGTGTCTTATTTATTTTATTTTAATCTACTGAACTTAAAAAAGGTGGATAATAGTACATTATACACTTAAATTGAGAAGTGAGCTATTATTTACTTCTCAATCGAAGTAAATATAGATTTTTTTACTACTAACACTGATTTATTACCTTATTTGATTTGATTAGATTTAAATAAACACAGCTTTAGTTATTTCCTACTTATTTTTCAAATATTTCAAAATATCAAGTAGTCTGGGAGTTTAGTTGTCAAATTAACAAAATGAAACTATAGTTTATGTGAAAATGAATGATAGCAAAAATGTTTATAACCCAAGAGATAAACCCCAATATAACATCATAAATAAGTGACTGAGAATTTTTAAAATAAAATGTTTAGTATTATTAAATTTGTTCCAAATTAAAATCTTGATTTTCTTCCTAAAATTTTTAAAAACACCAATTTATTTCAATTCTTGTCTTAAATTTTCTAGTCATTTTAATCAACAAAAATAAGGTATGTAATTTCTACAGGTAGAAAATATTTACAATTCAAGATCAATTTAAGTAGTACTCAACTTTCTTAGAAAGGATTAAAACTTCTAATCGGCAGAAAGAGTTATGCAGATTGTAAATTATTTTAGTTAAAATTTTCATTTCTGTTTGCATGGTCCTGTGATTAAAACACGCAGAATTGTTAGTTCTGTAATAATAGACGATAAAACGCGATATTGATCAAGTGAATTTGTGCAATAAAAATGGCACAAACGTCTAATTATATTCCTGTATTAAGAGATAAATTGTGGAAATCTTTACATGAATTAGACTTCGTTTGGGAGAGAAAATTTGCGCTTATTTGTTGGAGGAGTCAATATTTAAGGGAAATTAAAAAATTAAGAAGATAAGACAAACATATTTTTTATTTGGATAAAACATGGATAAATGAAGGACATTAAGTAAAAAAAGTTTGGCAAGATAAACAGGTTACAAATGCTCGTCAGGCATTTATAGAAAGTTGGTCTATTGGCTTAACATTTAAAAATGGTAAAGGTCGCCGTGTAATTATCACACATATTGAAGGAGATAAAGGATTTGTTGATAGAGGCTTGTTAGAATTTATTTCAAATTCTACGAAAGACTATCATGAACAAATGACTGATGTCTTTGAGGAATATTTCAGTCAAATGATAGATTTATTACCGACCAATTCTATTTGTAATAGTTATGAACAACTCCAGTTACCATTCAAGATTAATGGAACCGTTACCTAACACTAAAAGGAAAATCAAGAACTCTCTGATTGGTTAATAACCAAAGAAATAGTGGCAGAAGAGGGATTACTCAAAAAAGAGCTATTTTAGTTATGTAAACAACATTCACCAAAATTTAAGAAGTATAGTGTAGATGAAATAGCAAAAGAACATGGAGTTAAAGTATTGTAGTTACCACCTTATCACTGTGAACTCAACCCCACTGAACTAATCTGAGCTCAAATGAAGGGATATGTCACAAGAAATAATACATTTAAACTTCAACTATTATGTCACTCCATATCAAAAATTTCATCGGACAATTGGCAAAACATTATAAGACATGTCATAGCAGAGGAAGAGATATTCTGGAAACTTGATATGTTAATAGAGCAAACAATAGAACCAATTATTATTTCTATGGGAGTGAGGAAACTGATGATGATTACTCCTTATCGGGAGAAAACAACTTATTTATTTAGGTATGTAACTCTATATTTATATTAATTATAATAAGTTTATATGACGCTAGTACCCGAAATACAAACAAAAAAATGTATATGGAATCACTCCGTATTTCTAAAAACGAAATATGAGTGTTTAATGAGAAAAAAAACATTTTAAAAGATTTTTTTATAGTATATCATATAAAGGGGGATGGGATGGTTCAGAGGTTAGAGTCTTAACTTTGAGATCGAAAGATCTCAGTATCGAATCCCACCGCTGGCATATTAGGTATATACACCTGGGGTATAAATCGAAAATATATATATTTATTATTAAATTTTAAGAAAATGTCCTAACCTAATATCTAGTATACTATTTTTATAAAAATAAATGTGGGTACTTAATATCTCAGAGTAAGTAAGTAGTAAAGAGAGGACAGTAAACAATGTTTGTGTCGCCATGATAATAGGGTCGAGAATTCTAATTAGAGAGAAATAGATTAATATCTCTATCTCTTTGTTTGTATTTGTCAGTTTTACAGAGCTTTTCTCAGACAATTATTCCAGTGTTTAATTTGAATTTGTTCGTGTTGTGGTGTTAAAAGTAATTGTTTTTAACATTATATTCATAACAAGAAAGTCATATTTTGTTTTCACTTCATTAAAAATGCACCTACCTACCATTTAAAACATTTTATTTTATATTCTATTTGGTCAACATTTTCGCATTTAAAATGACCCTGCGAAATTGTTTTACGGAACGCTACTGCTGAGAATTCTAAAACGAGTGAGAAAGCCTTCATTAGAAAGAGAGATACTGATTATATGATAGCGAGATTAATATTGTATAACTTTATGCAGTGGTGGCCTATCTGCTATTATATTATCTAAGCTTAATATTACTATTTTTTAAATGAAAGTAATTTCATGTTTCCAGTCAGTGAGGTATAGAATTATTGATTAATCCCTTAGGGTTTGCTCATTTACATTTTATGATGTATTCAAGGTTTTTTGGGTGGACATATTAAAATCTAGTGAAAATTCAGATAAGAAGGTATTAATATTTACTTTTTCTGCTTTGAACAATCCTGTATTCTGTAGAACTGCTTTGCCATAAAAACAGTGCTATCATGCATTTTCAAATAAACTATAATGGAATTAAATTTCACTATTGTTTTTTTATTATTATTTACCTAGGGTGAGAAATATTACTTCTCATTAGAGGAATGGAGTAAATAATGGTGATTTCTCATGTTATTAGCAAAAAACGTTTTAATTAATTAATAATGGCCTGAACTAACTGTACATACCTTCATGCTTCCTCTTCAAATTATACTGCATCATCGGTTTGTTGAAATGGGAGTTATGAACATTAAACTGATGAGGAGGCATCCTTGAATGATAGTTGCCCATAGGATGTTGGTTTTGCATTTGATAGTTGTGATTGGAGGACATAGATGACGATGATGGCTCTGACGAAGTTGACGACCCCGACAAAGATGGCGGACGGTTACGATAGTTGTTGTGCATTGACATTATAGATTCTGTAGAACTGCTTTGCGACGCCAATGAAGGGGGAGGGGGAGGATTTGGAGGTGGCGCGTCGGGAGGTAAAGGTGGTTGCTGGGGAGGAGGGTAATTCGGTGGAGGAGGAGGCTGTATGGAAGCTGGGGAATAAGCTAATAGAGATTTGGAATAATCAGCTACTTGGCGATACCTTCAAAATTTACAGTGATAAGTTAATGATAAACATTTTTAATTAGAATATAATTTATTATACATTTACAAGTAAAAAGGGAATGTACCTTAATTAATTTTAATAGAATCATGGTTACCACTCCTTTTAGTATTGATGCAATTTTAGAAATGAACATCAATCTTTGTATGCTAGTAGTTACTATGATCTTTTAAATTTAAAGTGTTGTCAAATTTTATGTAGAAATAGTTGAACAATTATTTATTATGTTGTTTTGCTTTCAACTAATTATATGTTACAAAAGAGGTAATAAAATTGTCTAAGGGAAGAATGTAGTAAAAGCAAAAAAAACCCATTTATTTAAATGTACTTCTTACCTGTACAACATTTGCCTATAATAGTTGGCCTTAGCCTCCTCCAAAGTGGTTGCAGATAGCATTTGTGCTTGTAAAGCAGCTGGATTTGTTTTCAAATTCGTTTTATAATGAGAACTTTGAATAGATTTTTGTATTTTCGGTGGAGGGACATTCGGCTTAAATTGTTGAGCTGGCATCTAATAGAAAAAATGAGTTAACTTACAAAAGTAATCAACAAAATCGATAGGTAGTAGTTCTACTAAAGAAATAGGTAACCCTAATATATATACAATTTATTAATTCTTTTGAACAAAGGGTTGCAACAAAACATGTTTATTTAAAAAAAAAAAACATATTTTGTTTTTGTGTTTGTTTTGAACAGTTTTTATTTGTTATAAACTGTTTAAAATACTTTATAAAAAACATGATTTAAAAAGTAGTTTTAAACATGCTTTTTAAACAATTTATAATTGTGTGTACCTAAATCGCCGTGTAGTTGAGGAAACACCGAAGACCACATGTAATAACCTAATGAATATTTGTGAAAATAACAAATAGAGGTTAGATTTAGCATGCTACGCAGTAAACAGTCCTACATTAAGTGAATTAATAATGTTAAATTTATATTGTGAAATTTGAAGATACAATTATAAGTGAAATATTAAAATAAATAGTTCAACAGCATTTTAAACAAGTACCAGCAAAAGCTGAGTCCAGTGCCCTTTAATAGCTCCACAATATTTGGCAACCTCTTGCCAAGTAGGTCTGAGTCCATTTTTGAGCTATTCTCCAACAACCTTCAAGTCATTGTCTTTCTCAGGCTTTCAAGGGTGAATTCAGGCCTTTTTTTGTTATGTGCCTTTGTAGAAATGTTTTTAAGATTTTTACAGTAAACATCAAACAATAGGGCTACTTTATGACAGTGCCTTTAAAATTAATTACATATCTATGATCACTGTGACAAAGTTGTCAACAATAACACAGCTAATATTTTAAGTCAATAAAGCCTCTGCCTAATCTTTAAAATCATTAAAAAATATATTAAAATCATAACTAGGTGATCTATACAATGATCCCAGTAGGATATTTTCACACAATTTAATTTTAATTAATAAAAAAAAAATTAAAAACTTACAGGATTCAAAACTAAATCTTTATAACTCCTCTCTGGTGATACATTTGTACTCTGAATCTTATAATTTTGTGGTGGTTCATTTTGGTAATTTCTAACAATATTTGGTGGTGGTGTAGTCTGATAGTTTCTTCCAGCCGATGGCAAGCTATTTGTATAATTTTTTGAACCATTTTGTTGAGACTGTACATTTTGTGAACCACCAAGATGGGACTGCACATTTTGTGAACCACTCTGATAATTTTGTAAATTAGAGTAATTTCTCGTATGTGCTGGTGAACTTGAAGAATGATTGACTGAATGTGTAACATCATAATTTCTGGATGTTGATCCTGAGTTAGTTGGATAATTTCTAGAAGTATTGTTGGGAGGATTAGTCTTTTTACTGTTACTATTCGCTATGGGTGATGTCGGGACTTTGAAGTTATTCCATTTTGAGGAGCTCTAAAATATATATGCAAATATTAATACAAAAAAATTGTTCAAAGTACAGTGGTTAAAACATACTTTTTTGTTAAAATTTGGTGGTGGTTTTGAAAAGCGTGACGAGTTAATATACGGTGTTTGATGACTCATTACGCAAATATTTTAATATTTGTTTTTTTTTTTTTAATTATATTTGGACAAATTCACTAGTTTTGGTCTACTTAAATGTTAAATATAACTTGTATTTTGTTCCTTTCTGTTTATTTTGAGATGAGTTGACTGTTGACTTTCTGACATTTGATTCTTCTTTTTATTTTCTTAAATTCTTCTTTTTTTGGTCACGTCGGTAATAAATTTTTTTTTTTAGTCAAAGCTACGATTATGAACAATTATTTTATAAGTACTTAGATTTGATGTACAAATTTAGTTTTTCTCTTTGATTCTCCCAAACCAAGTGGAAACGTAAAAAGTGTTTTCTTATTACTTTTTAATGCACGAAGATTACTATATTATTGACTTTGTGGCTGAAGGCCAAAATTAGCTTAAGGAGAAGATATTGACCAATATTGACGGATGACGTCATTTGTTATTGTTATTGTCAGTTTACAAGGGTTTAAAAATAAAAAAAAAACAAATATTTTTTCGTTTCTGAGAACAGACCAGACCATTTCTGAGATTCTGAGGTTTCTTAGTGAGAATAGCTGGATATTTATATATATATATATATATATCAGAGACAACCTACATATATTTTATGGTTTATTTATTGTCAATGATGAATGTGAAGGAGGAACTTTTATACCTTCATGAGGACGTTTTCAAAACAGAACCAGACGATTTTACTGAACAAATGCCTTATAGAAGAACACCACAAATGTGTGAAAACGATGTGTTTGAAGAATTTGAAACCGGTACACGTAGACAGAATGTTGATGAAATTAAACAAGAAATTATCGAATGTGATGAGATAAAAATTGAGCATGATTCCGTGCAAGAAAATAACTTACAATTTTGTCCTTTGCTTACTAAAAAGGAACTTGAGGACATTAGTGAAATAAAAGCTACAGACATCGAAGATATAAAGGAAGACGTATGTGAATATGTACACTGTAAAGCTGAACTGTTGACTACACATTGTGACTTACAGACTTTGAAAAATGAAAATACTGAATATCCAGATTGTTTGGCAGAATCCTGTGAAAGGGAAGAAGATGAAAAGATATCAGATCCTTTAAAAAATAGCACAAATGTGTTATCCATGAAAAGTAAGTGCCTATTAAATGATTATCAAGGCTGATTAATTTTGAGGTAATAATATATAATGAAACATAAACATATTACCATTGAAATTTTACAGAAAGCTTTCTAGGGTTGATGAGGAGTTATATAAAATGCACATATGATTTTATTTAGTATATATTTCACAGAGTGGTAAGTTAGTAAGTAACTCGAACGATATAGCCTGACTAAGAGAGAATTAAAACTTAACCATTATTATGGTACCTACAATCGAATAAGGTCTATTATCCTCAATATACCTGGGTTGGCATCGAGGATAATTTATTCCAAATTTCCTAAAGTAAATAACTGAATAACATAACAAATGTTTGATGGGTTTTTGCAATTGAGCTCTTAAACTTAAATTATAATATTTCTACTGGGTGTGACAATGTGGCATGCCACCACAGCTTGTAGACATTCATGTCTGGCTAAAGATCTTTTGCTCTTGGCACAATACTCTATTTCAAACTTTAGCCTTTAGGAAATTTTACTGACATTTTGAGGCAATCTTTATGAAATGCTTAATTTTTAGTTCTAATAACCCGTTTACGAAAGTTTCCCACTCATATGTCAAACTTCGACTAAATATGACTTGGATCAGTCTTCAATGATCTATGACATCTTCCAGTTTGTCCAATTGAACAGATTTATTTTCTGCTTCTCTGTTAGCATATGTTTCTCTTTTGCCTAAAACATTACAATTAATAAACAATAATGAATTTAATAAAAACTTCCGAACTGACTTTATAAAAACTAATTACTGATTTGTGTATACACTTTTATTTACAACCATATATGTAATGTTGTCATTACTAACGTCATTGAAGGTTGGGAAGTGTCACATTACACACCTCTACTTCCCGCCCTCACTTCCCGCCCTCACTTCCCGCCCTCATTTCATCTATTCTAGATGAATATTTTTTATATTTAAAAAAATAACACATTTTTTGACAAATTTTATAATACCTATTTAATGGCAAACAATAAAAAACAATGAACTAAAATACAACAAACTACTTATTGATATTTATTATTCGCGAATTTAATATCCGGCTTTATCTGACATTTATTTATATTGGTGACAGTTGTTTACCCCATAATCACAGTAACAGTATATTTACTTGATTATTCTGAGAAAACCGCGCGCTTGGTAATTTGTCGTTAAATGTAATATTTTAGGTATGTTCAGGACAAAACAGAGATTTATTAACTTTGATTGAAATATGATGGTTGTAAATAAAATAGTATACAAACCTCGGTAGGAAGTTTCATTCCTGTCTCGAGATCATAGCTAACCTCGACGCTTCGCGTCTCAGTGATCTAACTAATCTCACAACAGGAATGAAACTCTTCCCACCTCGGTGTGTAATATACTATTACAGCACTCTTTCCTGTTTCTGCTTTACATTGGGCTGTGATGGCTGTTAAAAGTATTACAACCATAGGTTTGCAAATTTTTTCTAGCAATCATCAATCCCTATTGGACACAATTCAGGGTTTACCAGAACTTTCGCCTTTAGGTTGAACCCTTACACTCTCACGATAGTGCCTAAGTGCTAACTGCCAACTGTTGACTTAGCCAAATCCAATTCATCCACAATTTTTTGTATTTGTCCCCTAACAATATTTTTTGAATACCAATTCATGAATTTTACATTTGTCGCACTTTCTTTGCCCATTTTTCTTCAAATTTATTCGAATGTTTGGCCTATTTCTCACATTCTGAGAATATCTTGACTGATAAATGAAAGCATATTAGGGAATTAGCTGTCATAAGAGTCTTTAATAACTCGAGGTGCGGCCACCTCTTCGTGGTGAGTTCTGGGTTAATTTAAAATTCAACTAAATATTTAATCACATATTTTCATATTTTTTAATTTTGAATATTGAAATATATCTGGTATGATTTACAAAAGTCCAGTATAAATTTAATAAGTATAAAAAATCTAAGTAATAAATTTACAATAAAAAGAAAAAAATGTATACCTACTTACTAAAAATAGAAAACAGTATAAGCACAATTAAATCAAGTGGACAATGATCTTAAAGTTTTTGTAAATAACTTGTCTTTAACATTTTTATTGTCTTGGACAAAAAGGAATGAGATCCATAGTTTGTTCTATGAGCAAGGTCTTCAAGGTTTTTATTGATCTAGTAGATCTCGGAGGTACATGTAGACCAATGTTGCTTAAAAAAGAAGAGCAGGATTTGTGTCCATTAATCAAGCTATATAGAAGCAGAATATCTTTGAAATATTTTTTTTTCTAACATATATGGGACTGGATGAAATAATGAATTATTAAGGCAGTAAATAGTCATTTAAGCACTAGGCTTGGTAGATTTTAGAAATTTTTTTGAATCCCAAGGGGTCCAGCTAGATTTTTTTTTTTTAATTTATTTTTGGTATAAAACATAGTCATAGCCAGTCACAACTTTTCTATAATAGCCCAACTTAAATTTCTAAATAATTTTTTTCGTCATTTTCGGCACATGTTAGGTAAAAGTGGCAAAATATATAGTTTTTAAATCTTTCTCATTTTTTTGGGAACAGGTTAGGTGATTTAGTTAAGTTTTTTTTATTTGTCTCATTTTATGTATATTTTTTTGTGAAGCAACCCACTATGGCTCCATGCCACACAGGTTAGGTAAATTACTTAAGGTTTTTTCATTTTTTAATGTTATGTATCTATAATTTTTTAGCGACGCAATGGTTACCTGTGAAATTTTGTTTTTGTGTTTGGTGGGCTTGTTTACTTATGAAAAACTGTTTTTTTTTGTTGCAAATTCAGATTTATTATGAAATGCATTTTTAATTTTTTTTAGGTTAAGTAAGGTAATATTTTGTTGTAATTATTTTGATATTTTCTGAAGAATAAACATATAATTTTTAATCAGTGATCTTTATATTCTGCAAATATGAAAAAATATTTTTTGGCGGTAGGGGGGCAAATTTCATGAGACCGCGGGGATTTTTTGATTTTTGTGTTTGGAAGGCTTGATTAGTTACGAAAAACAGTTTTTTTGTTTAAATGTGAATTCACTATAAGCTGCATTTTTTTCGAAATAATATATAGTTTTCGGATTCAGTGATACATATATATTTATTTTTTATTTTGCAGATTTTCCTGCTTCTAATTCGAGTTACATTCTGGATGGAAATTTTCAGAAAAGTGTCATATTAAACAAGTTTGATGGAAAATCAAAAAAAATAATGAATTCACAAACAAATATATTAACCCATGCTGATGAAAAACCATTTAAGTGTGACATTTGTCTCAAGGAATTTGAACATAACTCTGGATTACAAAAACATTTAATAACCCACACTAATGAAAACCCATTTAGGTGTAACATTTGTTCCAAGGGTTTTAATTATAAATCTAACTTAAAGGCACATTTAAAAGCTCACACTAATAAACTATTAACCTGTGACTCTTGTTCCAAGGAATTTCCATCAAAATCTAAATTACAGAGACATTTAGTAACTCACACTAAAGAAAAAGCATTTAAATGTGACATTTGTTGCAAGCAATTTGCTCAGAAATATACCTTGAAGTCACATTTAATAACACACACTAATGAAAAATCTTTCAAGTGTGACATTTGTTCCAAGGCTTTTAATTATAAATGTATCTTACAGACTCATTTAATGACTCACACTAATGAAAAACCATTTAAGTGTAACATTTGTTCCAAGGCTTTTAATCGCAAAGATAACTTACAGTTACATTTAATAATCCATACTAATGAAAAACCATTTAAGTGTGATATTTGTTCCAAGCAATTTACTCAGAAATCTAACTTTAAGGCACATTTAATAACCCACACCAATAAGAAATCATTCCAATGTGACATTTGTTCCAAGAAATTTACACTAAAATCTAGATTACAGAGACATTTAAAAAATGACCCACACTAATAAAAGACCATTCAAGCGATTCTTTTACTGCTCTGCTGTCATAAGCAAAACCTCAGTAACTACACAAACTGTGGAATGGAGATGTTATGTTGAGAATGGGGTGTGGAATGGAGATATTTGCAACAAAATAAATTGATAAGTTTTAGCGTTTTGATCGGTGGTACCAATATAGCTGCTTTTCTTGAATTAGAGACAATTTTTGGATAATGCTTTTGACTAGTTAAAAATAAGTTTGATTTAATTTTTTGTGTTGGTTTATGGGTTAAAAGGTTTTTGCTAAAAATGCCTTACAAAAATGTTAGTTTCAGTGTAGAATCAAGTTCACTTTTTAGGATACAGAATAATGAATATTACGGGAATTTTGCTAACTTTTTAAGGAGAAAAAAGAGTTAGTATCAGTATGGTCAAATAACCTCAAATATTTGTAATTTGTCAGTTATGGTGTTTGGCTTATGACGGCAGCGCTGTTCCAACAGCAACAAAATTTCTATATCTGGACCTCATAACCAAAGGGTACTACTGTCCTATTTCATAAATGGTCCATTTTAAAGTTTGGATAGCAGATATTTTTTACATTTAAGTGCTAGTGTAATAGTGTGTGTAAATTTTACACAAGAAATGATGAACTTGATAAATAAAAAATACAACTAATTAGATATTTTTTGCATTTCACTCTTATTTTGTAAAATAATGTACTCAATATCATTTGGCTCCGAAGAAAGACGTTGACTTAATATTAGGTTTTGCGACTTAGCCATTTAGCTTTGAAAAGAATAGAACAAAAGTAAACATAATATTTTTATCGTAAAGAAAAACATATCATTTTAATAACTATATTATTATTTTCAAACATGGGCAACTAAACCTTTAGCCCATCAGTCGTCTTCCTTTAAATTGACATGTTGAAGCCCTTGAAAGTAGGAATGGAACTGTTTGGTGACCCATTTGAGTAATTTTTGGCAAATTTTCGAAAAATTCTGGTTATAATCAATCCGCTGAAAGTGTTCTTGCTCATAATCAGATTTAACATGAAGAAGCACACTGGGACTTTGCTTCGAAGATTTCATGTACACCACTTTTGAGATAAAAAAAAAGTTTGACCATGTTCCGTTTTCTTTATTTTATTTATTTATTGGTACACTGCTCAAAAGGTAATTCCAATTACAAAAATAATTACGGAAACATAAGAATAGGTAAACACTATACGGACTTAAAAACAATTAAATATATCTATGGTATTACTAAGTTACATAATGTACACATATTGTGCAGTGGTGATGATTTTAAAACATTAGTTCTTGCTGATGGGAGATAGAAAGTAGACTGCGACCATGTCTCGGAATGTTAAAAGCAAGTTTTTCTAATAATTGTTCGCAATAGATTTTTTTATGTACTAATTAGTATATGAAAACGATTAGATGACAATTTCGCCTTGTACTCAAGATCAATAAAGTTGTGTCTGTTAAGCAGATATTGATGGGGTGTACCTATTTTCGGATAAATGCCATCCTGTTTGAAGCAAATGAATTTTAAGAATCGCCGGTGCACTGATTCTAACTTGTCCTGATGAATTTGGTAATGGGGATTCCAAATTATGGAAGCGTACTCAAGTTTAGATCGAACGAATGAAAAATACAGCATTTTAAGAGTTTCTATATTTGAAAACTCCCTACTAACACGTAACACAAACCCATTCATTTTTGATGCAGCAGATACAATTTTTTCAATGTGTAATATGAGAGCTTTGGATCAAAAGTTATACCAAGATCGACAAAATATTTAGGTCTTTGTAGAGATGACCTGTTTATCTCATAGTTGAATAAAATAATATCCGGTTTTAATGAAAATTACATTATATTTTTTCTTGATATTCTGGTAAGGTGAATCACTATTGCCATACAAATTATGAAAATTTGTAAAATCTGTGATTTCTATTCCTTCAACAGTTACTTTCGGACCACACAGTGCTGTCTCCACTCCTGTGGAACCTTAGGGCTCTCAAAGATAAGGGACATAGAACCCTGGAATATGCCGATGATCTAGTGATCATGGCACAGGGAAAATACAACACTATAGTAAGAGATCGAATGCAAGAGGCTCTAAATATAGTAACAAAATGGACAGAGGCGGAAGGACTAAACACTAGCCCAAACAAATCTGACATAATTGCATTCACCCGCAGGCGAAAATTGGAGGGACTAGGGCCTCTAAACCTAAGAGGTGCAAGCATCCAGCTTAAGGGGGAGGTAAAATATCTCGGGGTTATGATTGACTCGAGACTTACCTGGAACCAGCATCTAGAAAGAACCACAAGGAGAGCGGAAACCTCATTAATGATGGCAAGGCGATCCTTTGGAAAAAAATGGGGGTTAAAACCAGACATGGTATACTGGCTTTATAACATGGTGGTGAAACCGATAATAACATACGCAGCTTTGGTGTGGTGGCCAAAGACACAGCAAAGGAAAGCAATAACGAGGCTAAGCAAGGTACAAAGACTTGCCTGTCTCGGAATAACGGGGGCAATGAAAACAACCCCCACTGCTGCAATGGAAGCGCTAATAGGACTCCCACCACTTCACTATGTGATACAAGGGGAGGCAAGATTAGGGAATACACTGGGAAATCTTGACATTAGGCCAGGTCACATGAGTATCTCAAGGTTAGTGACAGGAGACGTGCTAGACATGAGATCAGACCACATAACCAAGAGGTATTCTTTTAATACTCCCTTTGAGGTTTTAATACAAGAAAGAGCGGAGATCACCATAAGGGAGCCCATTGCCCAACGATAGGAACGAACCTGGTATACAGACGGGTCTAAGACTGCGGAAGGCACTGGGGCAGGAGTATTCTCCAAAAACCCTGATACTAACCATAGCTATGCTATAGGAATACATTCCTCGGTATTTCACTTAAGGCCATATCGAGTCAGAAAGTTACGTCGAGGCTGGTATGGGAATGCATCGAAGAACTAAGAACACTGGCAGACCGAAATAGAGTAAAACTATTTTGGGTGCCAGGTTACAAAGGGATCGAAGGCAACGAAAAGGCTGACGAACTTGCAAAAAGAGGGTCAGAAGAAACACCGGAACCAGACACAAACCCAGGAGTACCAAAAATTACAGTCCGGGGTTTTATAAATGACTGGATTCGGGAACAACATAGCAACTATTGGGGAAGCACCCCAAAACAGGCACATGGAAAAGCCTTCATAGGCAGACCATGTCCCAAAAGAACTGGATAACTACTCTTAATGAATAGGAACCAGTTGAAAGTGATAACAGGGTTCATGACTGGGCACGCCCCAGTAAAGGGACACTTGAACAAAATTGGCATGTACAATGGGGAACTCATGTGCCGACTATGTCACAAGAAACCAGAAACGGCCAAACACATACTGTGCGAATGCGAAGCTCTAGATCGCAAAGACAGGCTCTTTTTGGAAACCCCCAGGTTGATCCAACAACGTATAGAACCCACTCACCCAAGGATTTGTACAAACTTGTACAAGGTACAAAGGTGATAGAGTGGGTGCTATGAACTAACATGGGGTAAAACACAATAAGCCAATAGACTTCAGTGTTATTCGGAGACACATAGACGAGCCCAGGGAAGAAAAACCCACTCTCAGCCTGAGACTTGTCCCAAATGTAGCAAGATGCAGATTTTGTGGATGAATCATAAAATAAATGTCCAGAACTTAAAATAAAAATTGAGCATTTTTGAGAAGTGGAGATGGCAAACATTTCTGTAAGTCCACTATCAACATTTTGGCACTATTGACGTCACATTCCTTTTTATCTTGCCTTTTTAGTTTGTACCTATTGTCTTTATCAAGTTAATAGGCGTCATATTCCTTTTAAATTTCATTTCGTTCTTCATCTGAAGTCACTCCTTTAATATTAATCTTATATTCGTCACACCCATCACAACTATTTCCAGGTTCTTTGAAAGCTAAATTGAACTTTGAATTAAAAATGTCTCGATATTTCCATTCTTTTGGAATCTTCTCCAGGCATATGAGAGTTCAAACATTCTTCGCAAAACAGTTGGTACACACATGCGATATTAATATGACTTCGCAAGTATTTTTTTGTAGAGTTGATGTGCTCTCTAATGAGACTCCTGATTTCTTCTCCAATTTTATTAGATGGTTCATGCTTTACATCTTTGACCTGATGTTATGACTCCATTAGCCTGCCTTTTTGCAATTGCAAATCGTATTATAGTTTGCGATATGCTCATAGTGGTAGGGGAGAAACTTCGACATACAGGGATTCTTCTACCGTTCACAGTAAAAAAATATTTTAGTAATATTTGCCGTCTACCAGTGCGGCTCTCTGTTCTAACTCGCACCCGTTCTATAGGATTTTCTTCGATGACGCTACAAATAATAACTGTCTTTTTCGGTCAGTTTTATCTGACTACTCCAAAATTGGTAATACATTATTTTACGTATATCTTCTGTTATTCTTTGCATACATATCATCCTACAATCATCACAGGGGCTTTCATTTCTCTTTTTTATGACTATTTCCAACAGCTGCCCTTTTATCAATTCTGTTTTTCCACGTTTGTGGGTTTCTTTTTCCCTTTTCTGTTCTCAGTTTCTTCTTCCTGCAATTCCTGCTCCGCTCTCACTTCCTGCTCTTCTCTTTCTTCACTACTGCTTTCTCTACTAACAGACGTTGCAATATAATCAGGGTCGTTCATATCATCGTTTGTCTTAGACAGACGTGCTAAAATAACTTTTTTTTTCAGCATAATTTATAGAAATCTCAGTATTATTATCTGAGCCCGTCGCTATATTAATAGGTCGTCAGTTGGCTGAAGTTCCAGAACCACTTCTGATTCAGATGTGGTTATGTACATCGATGGCAGAGACGATACAGAATCTAAAAACAACTTATCCTATTATAAACGTGCAATTTTTCACAGCTAATTGCTTACCTAGTATAGTTTCACGAGGAGTATTCAAAATTTGAGGGTCACTGTCGAAAATTATTTTCGAATTATTATGTTTTTCTTCGTCCATTTCTTGCATATCATTAATAAAAGTACTGCAGCCGGGAATTGCAATAATCTCCCTGAATAAACAGCGACATCAAATTCATTTGTCTCGCCTTAAACAAAAAGTACAGACATAAGTACAGTGCAACCTCTTTAATCCGAACACCTAATTGTCAGACCTTGTTCGGATTATCGAATTGTTCGGATTAACGAATATACAATAAAACACCTCTTACACATTTTTAGACCTTTAGATCTATGTATGTATATTGATTTTTGTACATTTAAATGCATTATCAAACTACATATGGGCGACGCGGGCCGCGCTGCAGGTCTTTTTCTGTCAGCGTTCGGATTACAAAGGTGGCGTTCGGACTATCTCGCATCACGATTTGCGTTCGGATTAGCGTGGGTTCGGATTATCGAGGTTGCACTGTAATAATATTAGAAGTTTAAATTGACACATTATTGCAGGATATAATAATGTTAAGACTAAAGAAGAAGTATGTCCAAAGTCGGTACTTATAGGTCTTGTACCTTGATTTTACCTTGAATCATCAAGATTAACACACCTTAATTTCTGTAAAGTACACAACCTTGTGACGAAGTCACTATTTTGTTATCCTAATTTAATTTATAAATTGTTTATTAAAAGTTATTTTCCGCTTGCGACAACCCCCGTAATTGTTGTTTCTCTAGAGTTCCTGTTTTTAAACATTTGCAAGAGCCTCGTATTTTAAAATACATCATTATTTGCCGAAGTTCGAATCCGGCTTTTAACATTCAATTTCATGTAAATTATCTAGATTGGGCGAAATCTAGAAGCACTGATTTGCGATTCGATGTTAAACCAATACATTCAAATTCGGCGTCGTTTTTTCTGAACTAAGTGCTAAGATAGTTTATTTTTTATTTTTTCAATTATTAAAAGCTCATTTTCTATTGTACAGGGAGTGCCGTGATTGCCCCTTTATTTACTCCTGATATATCATTTTATTTTTATTCTTTTACTATCGTATTTAAACAATTATTTGATAGAAAATTAATTTTCTATTGTACCAGGAGTGCCGGTGGTACCGAATATAGTATCCCGAGTTTTTTTAAAGAGTTTATTTTATTTTAAAATATATTTTGTTAATAATTCCTGTGTTTCTTTTCTTTTATTACCAGCTCTCAACCATTTTATTTCAGGGTACAAGGTGTGAGGTACTTTCATTTATATTTTTGTGGCTACCCCATTAGCGGTGACCACCTGGAGGTATTTTTAACTCCACTGAGTCTACTTTGAGTACACTGGTGTAACAGGGTCGCAGAGCAAACTGTGTTAGCAAAACTGGCTCCTGAGCAACCCTTGTTCCGATTTCACTACTTCAGCTCCAAACACGACTTCCTCCTTCACAGTAGGTGAAGCCAGAAGCCTGTCACAACCTAATGACTAAAGTCACATAAAATCATGATGCAAAAATTGGCACTGGGGGGGGGGGGGGGGGGTAAAGGGGTCAAAAATATTCAAAATTGAATTAAATCTGCTACGATACTTCTAAACTCATTCTGTACCCCTGGGAAAAGGGATACAAGTAATTTAAGCCTTACAAAATGTGGGTATTTAAAAAGACCGTTATTCAAACGCGAATATTAAAACTTAAAATTCAGTTTACCATAATTGTTGTTTTAAGTCATATACCCCTTTACCCCCCCAAATTACAATACAGACGGTATGATACTTAGCCGACGAAACATCGTCGAATTCGCACCTCACGTATTGTGGTGTGGAAAATATGGTTATCTGATGGCGCCATGAGAAGATTAAAATTTATTTCCGCGCGCTGTTTTCGATCAGCTGATATCTCAAATTCGCGAAAACCGCGCCTTCCACCACAATGCGTCACCGCGCGTGGCGTACAGTATCACTATGCGTAATATCATCATACAAAAAAAGCTAAAACAAATACATGGTTGCTAAATTTCAAGTTAATACGTAACACTCCTCCATGGATTTGAATATACCTAAGGAATTAAATCTTATAAATATTTTGGAGAGTTTCTAATAAGAGCGGGTCGCCTCATATCCACATGAACAATCACAAGAGAAGTTTCAGGCGTCATGCAGGCGCCTGGATTAAGGACCTCGGATTCAGCCTCTTTATTGGGCTCTTATTTCTAGTTTACTAGGCTGAATAGAAGATGTATGTTCATTTCTCAATTGATCTGTATGTCTTCTGATTGTTTTACTATCGGATGTGGCCACTCTGTAACTTAATGGTCTCGTTGGTTTTACGATAGTAGAATGTAACCATTTTTGGACTGGGAGAAAAGATCTGCAAAATACAGGGTCTTCTACGAAAAATCGAACTGAATTTGTTTCTCCTGTTTGGCTACCATTTCTTTGTAAAAATCAGGATAAACTTTATCAATCAGTGTATTTAACTTTTGACCCATCAAGATCTTCGCAGGAGATTTAACCGTCATTCCATGAGGTGATATTGTGTTGAGATATCAGAAGTAGCGAGAGGGAAATATCTTTCCCAGTCATTTTCTTCAAAGCATTTTTAACATTTTGTACCATTCGTTCAGCTTGTCCGTTGGCGCTAGGATGGAAAGGTGCCACAAGAGCTTGACGAATACCATTATTTTTTAAAAACTTTAAATTCCAACGACGTGAAATAACTTTATCTGACACGAAAACATCAGAGAACCGATGAGTAGCGAATAATTTCCTGAGAATCTTTATAGTCACTATAGCTATAGAAGATGTGGGAACTTGTCACACTTCCGGACATTTTGAAAACGAGTCGATGATTACTAGTATTTTCCGTCTGTAGGACCTGCTAAGTCCATGGGGTGCGTGACCACTCCCAAGGGTGCAGTGATGCTTTATTTGGCATTTTTCTTGCCTCTTGGCATTCATGACAAGAATTGGCACAGTCTTCAATTTCTTTATTCACGAGGTTTGGCCACCACACCTATGAACGACAGTCCTTTCATCTTAATTTTACCAGGGATGTGCTGATTGTAAGATTCCTATTATTCTTTTCCCCTCCCCTGGTAGGATAATTATCCGGGTACCCCATAACAGGCAATATTGATATCAACTTATTTAATATTTTCTTTGAAAATAGGGTGAGATTTCCACGAAAATCCCTCGTTATTTTTTGGCCAACCTTTCCAAGCCATTTGCAAAATCTTAGATAAAACTGGGTTTTTCTTAGTTTCTGCTACGGCTTCTTTAGCATAAAGTATCTTTCCTGGGATATTTTCGAGCATCAGAATGTCGTCTAAAAGAGGTACCTCGGGGGCATTTACCTTAAGCGGTGAACGACTATGCACCGTTTTAAAATTTAATCCAGATTTGCAAATCTCGTTTAAATGACTAGTGGTTGTTATTGTTGAAATTACATTCAACATGTCCTATCCGCTAATCTAAATCAGCATTCAAATACAAAAAAGAATAAAATACTAGATAGACACTCCCTGTATAAACCTCCGCACTTAATAAAAAGAGTAAAATACTAGATAGACACTCCCTGTATAAACTAATTGTCTAAAGTTGTGAAAGAACAAACCGGTTAACTTTCAAATAACCTTCAGACACCTGCGATTTCGCAAACAATCAAAACACGAGATTTTTTCACCCAATCATGACTCTCGCGCGCGCAATGTTAAGATACTAGATAACCAGGGACGGTGGTGTAGCGGTCTATCGCGCTTATATTCATTTATAGGCAAATTTATGAGTCTGAGACTGCTGGGTTTCGAATCCCAGATCGGACCATGTGGATTTTTAATTAAATTGCATGGTTCGGTTTAGGATTTGATGTGTGGCGTATTAATAGAAATTCAATTTCTGTTGATATGACATGCAGATTAAAAAAATTCGCCATACATTACCGTCTCGATGATGGTGGGTGAGGTTTTCCGGGTTTTCCTCACCTGTAAGTCAAATGGCACCATCAATCATCTTTAAGTCGCCCCGGAGCGCCACGGCATATAATAATAATAGGCGTCTCTTCCCCTACACAAGTCGTTCAGTCGACTTCAGGGGTTGAAATTCACTCGTAAGGGGGTGAATTAGGGAGAGTATTATTATTATTAATTAGAAGAAAGCCGGTAAAGCCGATGCTACCTGGCAAGCATGAATCGAGAAACGAAACACTTTCGCTCAGTCAGTCAAACAAACAACAAGTAAAACTCTTTAAAAGGGCCGGCAGTGGCCGTAAGTTAATTTAAAGCATTTGTGAGATTTGATTTACAGAAGTTAACACCTAATCGATCAATCAATTTATGTAACCAAGTAGTAAATGTGTAAAATGTGAAATCAGCAAGCCGTGAATATATCAAATTCAAATATAGGGTGATAGTTTTATTTGAATAAACCCAGTGCTTCAACCAGAAATGCAAGAGTATCTTCCAGAGACTACAAGAGGCGAGTTCGGTCAGTCAGGGGCTGGAGCGGGACAAATTTTAGGGTGCTTTTAAATGACATTTAAGCGTGTTAAACTGTCACTAATCGGACTAAACCGAACGCTAAAAGAGTGGTTTGGAGTTAAAAGTGTTAAAGGAGTTAAAGGAACGTGGCAAACCGAACGCAATGAAGGTGGAGCATAAGGAGTTCACCCCAGGTAATCTATTTCGAATACAGTCATACAGTCCACCATGATCGAAGGCAGTAAATGTCAAGCCCAATAAAGCTAGGGTAAAACAGTTATTTTCTATGCACCGGCTACGGATTAGATAATCTAGTTTATTAATCTGACAACACTGGATTTTTATAAATTTCGCAAAAAACAGAAGAATAGGAGAAATGTATGTCAAACGCCGTTGAAGATAGAAACCCTATTTTTTTAATGTACCAAAATCATAAACACACCGCGCGTAAAACGGATACATGTGTTTTGTGACGCATACAGAATTTTACGCAGGGTGAAAAAGAATGTCAAATGAATTAAAAAAAAAATAAATCTATAGTTGGATGGCAAAACCATTATGTTCATTTTTGGTAATTTTAACATATATACATACAAACTGCTGTATTTCAAGCTTTTCTATGCAAAACGATAATATACCTATATGAATACTTTCCCTACACTGTGCATGTTCAAAACTACATGGATATGACATATTTTCAGTATTTAAAAGTGTACAGAATCACATAAATATTATAATATGTATTGCTTACTTATTTTTACCTTTTTCAACATATCTGGATTTGCCATCTAACTACAGAATTAAGCTGTAACGTTAGAAAATAAAACACTCTTAAAAATGACAAAGTTTCTCCTGGTAATTTTGTCTAGAATCTTTGTCATCTTCCAAGAAAAGCTGGTTTTCTATTTCCGTTTTTTAATAAAATTCAAATAAAATAAATAAATAGAAAGTTCCAAATATACTGACAAAACGTTTGACATATTTATGACGTTAGAAAATCTCGATTAAATAAATGAATCCTCCGATATTGACGGATTAAAATAAAATCGGATTAAAGCCTTGGTTTCTTTGAACACTCCGTCGCAGTGAGCGGACAGTCCGTCGACCGCTGAGGACAGCAATTTTCGCTCGATGTGGTTTGTTAAAAAATATAGAAAATTATCTTTCTCTATGTCTGTACGTGCTGTTTATGTATTATGAATGTAAACGAAAGGTACTAAAAATGGATGCAAATAAATTGTTTGTGTTGTTATTATTGTTGGAAGAGAAAGAACTAGAGGAACTGGCAATTGCAACCGTCAAAGTTTCCAATAAGCCAGTGGATGAGTTGTTTTTGTGTCGCGATACAGAAGGTGCCTTTAATATCACTGTGCAGTGGAGGCTTTTTGGAAATGAAACCAAATTTAGAGAGTATTTTAGACTTTCTACAGATCTTTTTGAATTCGTGTTGAGTTTTATAAAGGACATAATTTCCAAGAAACCTAAAAATAAAGTCATGTCATCTGTATGTGTAAATTTGTCACTCATTGTTTTAAAATTAATAACAATATAGTCTCCGCACACGCCGACGATTCCGCTGATATCAAACTCAACCGATATCAACCGACTCTTCGCGACAAATCAGCGGCATGACGCCGTCCTGTTCAGCTAAGCGGATTCAAGAAAACCATTCCCATTTAAATA